TCTGTAGCCTTGACCCCGCTGGTAAAGTCTTTATATGTCTTAATAAATTAATCTTTTAGACCGACGCAAGGTACTTAATAATTCCCGCGATATTAATTCCCTTACTGAAGTAACAAGACTACGGTATATACCGTCTTAAAATACTAACTAACTAAAAAGTGTGAAATAAAAAAGGTAAATTTAAAAAATCAAAAAACCCGACTGCTTAATTATACTTCAAATAAAAACTGAAAGGAAAAAAACAAGTCCAGTCCAGTCTATAATTCTGTTAATAAGGAACAAAGCTACTTTAACAGTCGGGACCCACTGTTGAAAAATATTATGTATTCTTGAATATCTAATGGGTCCCGACTGTTAAAGTAGCTTTGTTCCTTATTAACAGAATTATAGACTACTGGACTTGTTTTTTTCTTTTCAGTTTTTATTTGAAGTATAATTAAGCAGTCGGGTTTTATAATTCTGTGTGTGGGGAGGAGAAATTTTGGAAAGACATGCCACTTCATAGAAGGTTCGATTTTCCATTTGACGACTGATATGCCGTCAAGCCGCTTGAACGTGAGGGTAGAACATTCTGTCACACCGTCAGACAGTTGTTTCTTTTTTGTAGGACGTGAAAATTAGGAAAAATTATACAAAATTAAAAAACACGTCGCGAGGTGCTAGAATGGTTTTTGTAACTATACAGCAATGAACCATGTTTGAGTCGTTATGGCTTGTAAAAATTACAATAACTTATAAATTATATAATATAATTTCATGATAAAAAAGTGCTTAATTTTTAGCCAAGGATTGCACTTACAAGACCTTTTTTAGTTTTTTTTTTTCTTTTTCATGAGGCATAATAAGCGATGTTGTCTTTTGTGAAAGAGATAATCTGTGCACACAAACCTAGCCTCAGTCAGCCTGGATAAGATTAATCTCAAGGACAAAAACCCGACTGCTTAAATATTATATCAAATAAAAACTGAGAAGAAAAACAAAACAAGTCCAGTAGTCTGTGATTCTCTTAAATAAACAACAAAGCTACTGTAACAGTCGGGAATCATTAGATATTCAAGAATGGATTTTTTTTTTCATTAATTTCCTTACTTTACAGAATTATAGACTACTGGACTTGTTTTTTTCATTTCAGTTTTTTTTGAAGAAATATTTAAGCAGCTGGGTCTTTTGATTTTTAAAATTCATCATTTTTATTTCACACTTTTTAGTTAAGATTATAAGACGGTTATCCATATAAACGTAAGTTTGAAATTAAAATCCCAATTGGTTAATATACAAATTTAAATCGTTGTAGATCCTAAACAGTCATATAAAATGAAAATTGGTGTATTGAACCTAAGCATGATTTTCGATTATATCTAGATAATGTTACCCCACTCGTCATATTTCGTTATTTTTTTTTCTTTCTTACAGTAAGACGCCTAATTGTCCCCATATTAAGTTTCGATTACTTTAGCAATCCCATGATTAAGACGAATCGATTGACATATAAATCATCAAAATCGGTTCACGCGTTAGGTCTCTAGTGTGCCACAAAGGAACATTCATACATAATGTAGACTGTTAAACACAATACCCTGTCTGCGCGTCGCACTTTGCGCTCTTGCGTTGCGCAATCGAGTAAAAATGACACAGCCTGTGTTGCCAGTTTATTGCAGTTCTTAAATAATGCTGTATTACTATCGGAAATTAACGCTCATAAAATATTTAGTAAGCAAGAAAAAGAGTTTTAGTAAGCATTATCGGAACAGGATTCCCAGTTATAAGAAAGTCTGTGAACCACAGTGACTGCTCGCCACCTTGCGGCATATATGCCTTTAAGTCCATTCATTTATTTAAAATGGAATGGATAAAATGGTAATTTCGAAAATCGGATCATAAATGATGTGAACATACTTAAAAAATACCGACCACAGTGAGCACCTTTTTGAAGTCATTTAAAAAAATGCACGTGAGAATAAATAGCTTTTGTACGGTAGCAAATGCCAAATGAAGAGAGTAATGAGAGGCCTGGGAAAGAGATAAAATGAACTTTATATAATAATAATAATTGTTTATTCAATGCATAAAAAACCCAATAAAAAGTAATATACAAAATTACAAAAATATATTAATATGTTTTCAATTTCTTTATTAGTAAACCATGAATATATATTTACACACAGAGAGATTTGAGTTCATAAGAAGATAAGCATATTATACTCATTCAGATATGAATTTTCTGAAATGTTCTCATTAGACTCGGTATCTATTACTATAGTAAAAGTTCGGTAATGTCGACTATAAGACCCAGTTGACCGTTTTTATTCAAAAAAAAAACGGCGTATTTTAATACAACACATAAAATATTACGTAAGTCTTCATAGTGTGCTATCATTTTTAAACGATAATGCCACATTCCAACCCACAATGTAATATTAAATATATGAAAAACTATATACGTCTTTTTACCCGGCTGCGCAATGCAAGAGGCAGACAGGGTTATGTGTTTAACAGTCTATATATGTATGTTTGTTCCTTTGTGGCACACTAGAGACCAAACGCCTGGACCGATTTTGATGATTTATACATTAATCGATTCGTCTCAATCATGGGAGTGCTACTAAAGATATGATAGTAATCAAAATTCAATATGGGCAAAATTAGGCGCCATATTGTGACGAAATAAAAAAAATAAGTTGACAAAATATGTCGAGTGGGGTATAACAATAATAAATATGAAAAGTGTGAAATAAAAAAGGTAAATTTAAAAAATCAAAAATCATATTTAGGTTCCTAACACCATTTTTCATTTTATATGATTGTTTAGGATCTACAACGCTTTAAAGTTGTATATTAACCACTTACGCTTTTAATTTCAATCTTACGTTTGTATGGATCTTTGTTACTCTTTCACCTTAAAAAATACTGAATGGATTTTGATCGACGAATAAAAGTAAATGAATTTTATATTTACTGCTAAACTATTAAAAAAAACTTGACTTTTTGAGTAAGTGCTAGTTTACTATAAAATTTACATACATTAGAGATATTTATGTAACGACTTGATTTAACTTCACACTTTTTTTTGCGAAAATTGAGGCGCATCTGTAGCCTTGACCCCGCTGGTAAAGTCTTTATATGTCTTAATAAATTAATCTTTTAGACCGACGCAAGGTACTTAATAATTCCCGCGATATTAATTCCCTTACTGAAGTAACAAGACTACGGTATATACCGTCTTAAAATACTAACTAACTAAAAAGTGTGAAATAAAAAAGGTAAATTTAAAAAATCAAAAAACCCGACTGCTTAATTATACTTCAAATAAAAACTGAAAGGAAAAAAACAAGTCCAGTCCAGTCTATAATTCTGTTAATAAGGAACAAAGCTACTTTAACAGTCGGGACCCACTGTTGAAAAATATTATGTATTCTTGAATATCTAATGGGTCCCGACTGTTAAAGTAGCTTTGTTCCTTATTAACAGAATTATAAAACCCGACTGCTTAATTATACTTCAAATAAAAACTGAAAAGAAAAAAACAAGTCCAGTAGTCTATAATTCTGTTAATAAGGAACAAAGCTACTTTAACAGTCGGGACCCACTGTTGAAAAATATTATGTATTCTTGAATATCTAATGGGTCCCGACTGTTAAAGTAGCTTTGTTCCTTATTAACAGAATTATAGACAACTGGACTTGTTTTTTGCTTTTCAGTTTTTATTTGAAGTTTAATTAAGCAGTCGGGTTTTTTGATTTTTTAAATTTACCTTTTTGATAGAAGCTTTTTGTATTTTTATCTTCCCAATTGGAAAAGGGAAAGCCATGCAGCCATCGCTGCATCGTCTTTATTTTTTATTAATCTTCTTTTTTTAAATTATAACGTGGGTGTAATCTAAAGTCTAAGGGTGTAATGTATTTTAATGTTTCTTGGAGTGTTTGGCACGAAATGTACCGAGTCAGTTTTCTCGGTAAGCTTCTGTGAGGTAGTCAACACTACAATAAAGTTCTCAAATCCACTTGACCGGAATAGCGTATATTTTAAAGATTCCGCTAATTTTTCAGTTGCGCAAACGGTTGTAACACAAAATTATATTCTATTTACAGTATCGACTTCATAGTGGATGGAATTCAAATGTGATGCCACCCGCACTCGATGAAATAGAGTCCACAACTCCGTTTTGTCTCTTTTAAAAATAATAATATATATATAACGGGGCATGAACCTCATTCGTGCTTTAAGAAATAGTGATGGCATCGCTGACGTCACCATTACCATCCACAGACCGCTCATTGCAAATAATAAGAACAATGGATTATAAATTCTTTATTCGACACATAAAATGAATAAATAATTGAACAAACAATGTTTTTCTAAATCTATTTTAAAAACTAACACGCAACCTATCTCTTAAAAATCAATATTGTACTCACAATTTCTCTGTGACCACTCCTCACCAAATCCTCGAGCAAAATGTGCCACAAGCAAGTTACTTAATAGTGTTCCAAGAATATGGCGCTTGACTCCGGACAGTTGTACAGTAAATATCCATAAAAAATAAAATATTTCCAATGCTTAGGACGTGCCAAAAATCATTATTTAATTTAATTGGATTTTAGATCGATATTTCCTAATTCTTTTATCTAAATATTGATTATTTGCAGATATGTATGTTTACGTATGTTTGCTGTTACCGTACCCGTAAAGAACAATTCTTATTTAAACTTATGATTATTATCTTTTTAATTAGTTTCAATGTGCAGCTTCCGCGCCGACATATACATAAACATACAATAATAATATAGTTATTGTGTCAAGTTCGCTTGTGTATTATTCATTAGTTTCATCCAGATATATAGTCCACCCTTTTCAAAGTTGTTACTTATATATGAAAAAAAAAAAAACAAATATAATATTTTGGCAAATATGATTGATTGATTACCTACGTAGTTTTTTTGAAATATCATTTTAATCTTACATTTTCGTTTATGCGATTACAATCGACGTAAGCTTTAATTATGATAACAATTTGCTTAAATACTACTAAACCGTCTAATTTGTCGAATGTTCGTGTTTCGACCATGAAAATCCTAGTAGTTGTTGCCGCTTGTCTCGCTTGTATGTATATACCGTTCGTTTTGTTTATTATATTTTGCTATTGATATCATATTTTATTATTTTCAATTATAGTAAATATATCTAGTAGTAGTAGTAGTACGGCGGGCTGTTTCCGCAACTCGACATCCAGTGCCTATTTTGATAGTATTTTTAATACTAACCTACTTTAGACAATTTATCGTTAATGTAAAATCACTTGTTTTTTATTCCTGTTTTATAATCACTACAACTTGAATTTAAATTTAGTAAAATATGAAAACATTTTTTTTATTGAATTTTAATTAATGTTGAAGTGCTATTAATGCGCTATTTCAAACACTTCTTCTATCAAATCTTTTATTAAGCGCATGGTTTAGGAAAGTGATAATAATGCAATATTTATACAAGAGTCTTTTTAATATAAGAATCTTATATGAAATAGACTCTTGTATGAATATTGTAATACTTTTGCTATAGATCAATGTTGGAACACTAAGCTGACAACAATCACTTGATCTTCGGACCGGATTGCTAAAGGTTCAGGCTCATATCCTTTTTGACACCTAGACCGAGTGGAAATATGTTTTCTCGTACAATTTTTTTGAGATTTACATACACTTGAATTTCACAGTAAGCGCTGGCAGCGCTATTCCTCTGACCCCAGGGGATAACATTCACTACAAGGAAGGTGAGAGTCGCTACATCTGGATGCCGGATGGTGACGACGTACCCCAACTGGTTGACCTTCAGGAACCCGCCAACAAAGCCTTGCTCAACTCTAGGAACGGCGCAAATAACCAATATTGGCTCTTCACTAGGTAAATTCTGTGGCTAATCCACATTTAATGTTTTGCTACCCCGAGTATCTGAGAGTATAGTCGTTTTAACGGCATTCCGAATGCTGAATAGTTCATATTAAAAAATATCACTATAGTATCTACCTAGAAGCACATGCAGACCTGCCGTGCAGTTTAATTGCAGTCGATGTACAGTTCCATGACAGTTCATAGTTTCATTCCACCTGTATCTGAACTGCGATTTGGTAGTCGGAGTCGGTCTATATGTACCTACTACATCTATCTGTCTAGGACTAACATACACAGTCTTATGCTCTTTTATTTATTTATGTCATACATTATGTTAGTCCGTACTCCATAGTCAATGGAAATTAAAAAAAACCCACACACACTAATTAGCCTAGTAGAAAGCACTCTAAAGGTACAATTCCGCAATGGGCTGCAGGCGACAACCGCAGGCGACACTGCGGCTGACCGTGCATTATATGCATTGTGCAGCAGCCGCGGCATGTCACCGCGCTCGTAATCAATTTCATAGAGATTCATAGAAACTAGTAGTGTCGCCTGCAGTCTGCAGCTGCGGCCTGTGGTCTGCTTTCAGTTCGGACTTGTACCTTAAGGCTTGTGTTATGGGATGTTAGGGTAAATATTTTACCCAGAAACATACATAAACATCTATGACTAAGGTACAAATGCTCGTATTCATCATACTAACCTGGGACCTCTGAGTAGGCGACGCCATAAAACCCGGCGTATATACCACGTTAGGCCACAAGCCTTTAAAAAGCTGTGGTCAATTCATATAATTGTCCATAATTTAAGACAGTATTTGGTAATGTTTATTTCTGTTTTAACCAAATGAATTCTCTTCTTTTACAGACAAAACCCAACTTCCCATCAAGTTTTGGTCAATGGCAACATAAATTCGGTGTGGAATTCCAATTATAGAGCCAATCGGCCGACTAAAGTCATCGTTCATGGCTGGAATAGCAATGGAAACTCAAATATCAACCCTACTATAAGAGACGCATTCCTCGCCGTTGAAGACTGCAACGTAATCGTTGTAGACTGGCGTGCTCTGGCCAATTCCAATTACCTTACCGCAGCGAGCGGTGTACCGAGCGTTGGCCAATTCCTCGGAAACTTCTTGGTATGGCTGTTCAACAATGCTGGTGGCAACTGGAACCAACTGCACTTGGTCGGCTTCAGTTTGGGCGCCCACATCGTTGGCAATGCTGGTCGCCAAGCCGGTGGCCGTCCAGTCAGAATCACGGGTTAGTTCAGTTTATGATACTAGGGTAACGGATAGAATCCATATACTGTAAATATATAAGTAAATTTATATAGAAATACATATTAAACATTCACGACTGGAGTACAAATGCTCGTATTCATCACACAAACATCTGCCCCTACCGGGATTCGAACCCGGGACCTCTCGAGTCGGTGACACCATGAAATCCGGCGTACAAACCACTCGGCCATGGAGATCGTCAATTGATCAGGGTACTTTTAAATAAGATACAAACAATATTTTTTTGTTTCGATAAGTCGGTTTGCAAACTTTAAATGATGACTGCTTACAAACAGTAGGATAAGTACCAATACTTGATTTCAAATGAATCGATTTCGTTGTTTGCAGGTTTGGATCCCGCCGGTCCTCTGTGGGGTGGTAACAGCAATGCCCTGAACGCCAATGCTGGAGGGTACGTGGAAGCGATCCATACTGACGGCGGTTTGCTTGGTATTTTCGACCGCGTTGCCAACGCCGACTTTTACCCCAACGGAGGCAGGAACCCGCAACCTGGCTGCTCCATAAGCACTTGCTCTCATAGCCGCGCTTACCAGCTGTTCGCTTCCAGTGTCCGCTTCAACCGCTTCGGTGCGCGTCAGTGCTCTAACCATCAGCAAGCTCAGAACAACCAGTGCTCAGGATCAGCGCTTAATATGGGCAATCACGTCCTCTCTAAGCGCGGGTAAGTTCTTTCTTTAGTTAAATTCTCCGATCCATTCGAATATGATTCTCTTGTAAGGTTCAAATGTAGATACTAATTACTGTGCGAATTTTAAAATAGACTCGTAATTTTTAATAACTGCACTTATCGTGATTCACCCTTGGTTTTACCATATAGTGCTCCTTGAATGTGACTTAAATATTCAGATTCATGATCAAGAATACGTGTAGAACATTTTTTTTGCTTTTAATTTGAATGCATAGCCTTAATTTATAATTTATCTAAGTTTCAAAAGAACACTACAAAGCTTAATATTTTCAAACATATTTATGCAATGTTGATTTTTCTTACAGAAATGGCATCTTTGGACTGAATACTGGCTCATCGTGGCCGTTCTAAACCAATAGCAAAAGGAAAATCAGACGCATGGACACAGCGCTAAATTAAAATTGTGATATTATTTTGTAATAAATTTTGTTAAAACAAAGGTTTTTCAATCGTCTTATTATTTTTTCAACAAACTTATTTTATACATACATATATTTATTACATTATTACTTATGTATGTTTTAACACTATTTATTTTAAGCATGTTGTTACTTGTACGGTGCATCTAGAGAAGTCAATTCTTCAAATATTAAATTATTTAATTAAAATAACTTTTAGTAACTAACTTTTTGTTTGACTAAGGCCGGGTTTTTTCATGGATAGTTAAATTTGAATCTAGTTAAATCCTGTAGAAAAAAAAAATAACACATTTACTATGTATTTGACGTAACATTAACTACAGTTACATTTTATTATGACAACGATATAACAATGAGACCTAAGTTGATGTAATCACTTTGTGATTACACTAGATTGATGTGACTTAAGGAAGATCACGTATATAGATACAGATTCGATTGCTGACGCTTTTGAGCTGATGACGTTGCTCGTTGATAATATGGTGATAAGGTATCAAGGATGCCTAGCTTTTTTAAGTACACTTCCCTTAAATTTCGTTTGAACAGACACATCTTTCTGGGTGGCCCTGTGACCCGAAGCACGAACAATTAGCGAAAAAAGCAACAACTAGTGAAAACTTTTGTTTAGCTTTAAACATCTAGTAGTTAAATGCTTAAAAATAAATAAAATCATAACTATAATTGCTATTTCTTCTTTCAAATGTTTAATACTTGAAAAAGTATTTATTTGACATTGTGGGTTACCTACAATGCGAAGAGATGGCGCTGCCTTGCAGCTTAAGGCTAGGAAAATTTCGACGCGGCTATTAGGGCCGTGGTAGCATAATGGTCAGTGCATTCGCCCGGATTGTGAAGGATGCGGGTTCGAGTCCCGTCCGCTGCCTGGTCCGCGTGGATTTTTTTCTAGTAAACTTTTCTTTAGATTTAAACATCTAGCAGTTAAATGCTTAAAAATAAATAAAATCATAATAATACTCATCGTCGGGAAAAAGCTAATGTTACTCAGACAAAAGAAAACAAATCTGACGAATTTTAATTTCCAGAGATGTACGGGTTGTAAGAAAAATTTTCTATGACAATGACAAAGGATCTTGCAGAAGTAATCCTTTCCCCGAAATTGATGGGACACCCAAGGAAGAAGTAAAAATTTACAGCGAACCTAGAAATACTAATGATGAAGAACAACCTGTCCAAAATGAGACGATTGATAGTTCCGGTATACTCTGTCCCGAAGAAATTGAAAATGATGAATACACAGAGTCTCCAATGGAAGCTCAAACAAATGAGAATGTTGAAGATCACAACAAAACCAGCCAGCTATTTTCTTGGTCTCGAAATTGGTAAATCTAAAGATGGTGATATAACTGTACACCAAAGGTCTTACACCAAGAAAATATTAGAAAGGTTTAGCATGATTGACTGCAAAAGCGTTCCATATCCTGCTGTAAAAACCTTGAAGGAGGATGATGACAAAGGAGCCAACATAAACTTTCCTTATCGCCAAGCGGTAGGTGCGCTGGCATATCTAATGGTCGCCACAAGACCTGACATCAACTATGCAGTGAGTATAGCTTCAAGACATCTTGAAAATGTAACACAGATGGATATTTTAAAAGTAAAAAGAATTCTAATATATTTGAAGGGAACTATGGACACCGCACTAGTCTTTAGAAATGAAAAAGACAGAAAGCTTATCTGCAGATCACGGTGGAGACTCTGTTACTGGAAACTCTACTACAGGCATGGTGTTCTTGTTTTCTGGACCAATTTTCTGGAAGAGTCAGAAACAATCTTCTGTAGCCATATCTTCTACAGAAGCTGAGCTTATAGCACTCTCCGAAACTGCCCGGGAAACTATATAGTTTATTTAAGAAGAATTTCGACGCGGTCCGTGAGGGCCGCGGTAGCATAATTAGTCAGTGCATTTGCCCTGATTGCGAAGGGTGCGGGTTCGAGTCCCGTCTGCTGCCTGGTCCGCGTGGATTTTTTTTTCTAGTTATATTTTCTTTAGATTCTCATAATCTTCTGCAAAACCTTATACTTTATTTAACGGTATAGATATTGGAAAATACTCCATTACTAACTAATCTATTTCTACTGCGTTAAGTTCATATCGAATATCTTGAAAAAGAAATAATGCAGAACTATTTACAAATTCTAAATTCAGCATTTTGTTTTGATTGGGTAATGCTGTTCTGTTTGAACACGTTGACTCTCCCTTCAATATTCAAACTGCTGAGTGCAGACTGCGCAAACGTACAAGTCTTGCTGATTGATCGATATTCGTATTCCATTGTTCTTGTTGAAACTTGTCACATATGGATTTCAAAGAAGAAATGAAAAAAATGATAACGCTTAGCACAGCGAAACAAGAAAATGAATTCCAGAAAATAAACTCTACTCTAAAAGAAATTCAGCTTACGAACAACAACATAGAGAGCGTGGTAGCATTTTTAGCGGCATAAAAGGAAGAATTTAAAAAGAAAATAGACGAATTGGAGAATCAACACAGGGAAGATAGGAAGTACATTTTTATTTTGGAAGATAAAATTGAAGATATGCATCAGGGATACCGGAAAAATAATATAGAAATAAAAAATGTGCCAAAGAAAACAGAGGAAACGAAAGATGAATTTATCACATAATATAGGCTGTAAGATTGAAAAAATAGAAGGATATTTATAGAGTATAGTATAGAGTATTCATTATTCATTTTCCCATACCTGTAATACACCCCCTTTCTTGTTCCTCTTAGTTATTTATTTCACTTTCATGTGTTGCCTGGAAAAGATTTTTGTTTAGCAATAAGGCCGCATATTGTGTATGTTTTCACTGTCATGTTTAATGTCTTGTATGTCCTGTGAGGTATATGTCAATAAAAAAATATATTATTATTATTATATATTTTCTTTATTAAGTAAGTAGGCTACCTTTAATATTAATAAGTGTTCAGTTAACATAAATTGGAGATTAAGTGATTAAAATGATATTTATAAAATGGCAATAAGCGCAACGTCTATAATTAAAAAAAATAAATACTCGAGAGGTCGAGTGACACGATGTAGCGAAGACCCGCTGCTATCCGCTTAGCAAATAACTAAGACTTTCCGCTAAATGTGTCAACATGGTAAAAATTATATCCGGTCTAGGTAATTGGTGTAAGTGTTCAAAATATATAGGTACTATGGAGTTCTACCCGGAAGGGATAGAACCTGGGGACTTGCTTATTAATTAAAAGATACTGGTAGAGATAAGTTATTTATTTTGTATTATCATTCAGGCGAATATAAAATATTTAATCTAAATACGAGAGGATTTCTTGGTGCCTGAAGATCTAATAATGAATGGAATCTTCTATCAAAAGACAGACGATTCCTTATTTCAAATCTTAAAATCATGATATTAACTTTTTAATATAACTGCCAACCGTAGGCATTGCAAAAGCAAAGAGTTTAGTTAAACAAGGAGGTTGTAACATCACGGACGTTACAGTACGTATATTATAATGTACCGTTTTGAAAGCTCTTCCAAATTGCAATCAAGTGATAATATGTTTTAAGAACGTCACTATCTGCGCATTTTTGCTATCTATTTATTTGTCACAAATAACAGTTAATGCGTAATTGATTGTTTTGTGTTTTTTAAACATTTATTGGTTTTTATTTATTTGGAATATTACATTTTGTGGATTTAATTTTTCCTTTAATCAGTTAGAAAGGCACTTAATAATCTCTTCAAAAATGATTTTTAATAGGATTACCAGATCATACCCATAATTTTTCAAGCTTAATATAATCTTATCCGCTTCACAATAAATCGCATTATCGATCTGTAACCATGAGGAGTGATGTGAAAATGAATACATATTCTATTTATCAATTCAGATTGAGAAGATTAAGATGATTACAAATAATCTTCTCAATTATAAGTACTTTATTATTAATTCATGATGATATAACATTAAATCCACTGGCTGCATTCATCATGAAGCTTGCGGTGGTCTTCGCTGCGGTGATATCGTGTCAGTATATTATGATATTGTATTAATAATCTTTGTGGTTTTGAGCAAAATTTTTATAGTCAACATATATAATTGTGATATTGTTGAGCGCTTATTTCTTTGTTTATAGTGGCTTGCTTGGTGAGTTCACACTGGTAAGCCAATATAATATATGTAACTGAATGACAGATGGAAATCTGAATTGTGGATTTGAGGCTTTGAGATTTGTTATAATTATTGTGGGTTGGACCTTATATTCTCTATGGAGTGTATATTTGGATCAGTCTCATATCATATAAAAAATTATGCTTTAACCACACAGCATTATACACATGGCTTATAAGCTTTCTGGTAGTATATATTCTGTTCCTGACTTGTGTATTCAGTTTATTTATTTATTTATACTTTATTGCACAAAAGTATGTACAAGTGGCGGACTTAATGCCATTAGGCTTTCTCTACCAGTCAACCGGAGAATTTTAGCAAAAATCTTAAGGTAGTGCAAAAAGAATTCATCAAATTACTTATTATATTTTTATATTTATGGAAACAAGATAATATATATATACTACATAAAATACATATCTATAAAAATACATAAATAATAATATATATATATATATATATATATATATATATATATAAATATTTAGATATATACATACAAATATATATCATATCAGGAGGATGCGGAGGAGGAATCTAATAAATGATGACGTACGGAGCGTTTAAAAGCCAGTTTGTTCGGAGCATCTTGAATATGAGGAGGTAGTGCGTTCCAGAGTCGTATAGCTTTAAGAGAAAATGAGTTGGAAACAAAACCAGTATGGTGAGAGGGAAAAGCTAGAGTTTGTTTGCTGCTAGACCGACGATTCAGATTATGGATACTGCCAAGATACCGAAATTTACATTTCAAATATCCGGGAGCACATGGATCATTAATGATTGAATATAGGGTGGAAAGAATTCTGAGATTTCGACGTTGGCGAATTGTTAACCAATTTAACTTCTTCCGAAAGGCAGAAACGTGATCGTATTTACGGAGACAAAAATAAAACGAATGCAGTTGTTGAGCAATCGATCCAATTTGTTAAGAAGTTCTTGAGATATGTCAGCGTAACACACATCAGCACAATCTATAATGGGCAAAATTACGGATTGAACCAAGAGAATTTTAGAAGATATTGGGAGAAATTTTTTGAATTGATAGAATGACCGAAGTATACCGATCACCTTACAGCTTATAGCGTCTACTTGTGCTATCCAATTGAGAGAATGGTCAATCTGTATACCCAGGTCTACAACTTCAGGAGAAAACTTTATAGGGGTTCCTTCAAAATAGAGAGACGCAACAGAGCTCATGTCCACCTTCGCCAGAAGACGAGAGCTGCCCAGGATAATGGCCTGGCATTTATTCGGATTGACTTTAATACCGAAATTGCGAGACCAGCCCGCAATTCGCTGAAGATCGTCATTCATAGACCTAATGGCAACTTCCAGGTCATTCACCCCAATTTGAGCGTAAACTTGTAAGTCGTCCGCGTATTGATGGTAAGAGTTGCGAAGAATGGAGGTAATGAGATTGATAAAGACTGAAAATAGCAGAGGAGAGAGAATACCACCTTGTGGGACGCCAGCCGATAAATCACCGCTAGCTTGAACTGCTTGCTGATGTCCAAGAAGATAAGATGAAAACCAATCTAGTTCCGGAGAAGAGATTCGCAAGTGGGATAGTATAGCAAGGAGTATGTCATGATCAACGGCATTAAAGGCATTAGAGAAATCAATGAGAACCAGAACCGTTAACCGTGACATCTCCATGCCATCACGAACGTCCTCAGTGACTTTTAGTAAGGCAGTTGTGGTGCTATGACCCGGTCGAAAACCAGACTGGTATTGGTTAAGCATGTGATTTTTAGCTATGAAAGCAGGTAGTTGACTATGTACCAAGACTTTCGACAAAAATGGCAAAATAGAAATTGGTCTTAAATGACTAGGAGTTGTGGGATTACTTATTTTGGGAAGTGGCAAAATATGAGCCTTGCGCCATGAGTCTGGAAATTCACCTGAGGAAATTGATTTATTAATTATGTGTGTGATGATAGGGAGAATACTATCTAATATATTAAGGACCATGTGCCTACTTATACCATCGTACCCAATGGCCTTAGATTTGAGGGACATAATGGTTTTACGAACCTCGGACTCCGTCACTTGAGAAAATTGGAAAATATTTGTAGGTCGATCAATTAGAGAAGAAATGTCTGCGAGAGCATTGGATATATTTCCTAAAGAATGAGAAGAAGTTTCTGAGAAATGTCGGTTGATATCATTGAGAGAAAAAGAATGAGGAAGAGAAACATTTCTCGACTTAATCAACCCAAGAGACCGAAGAAATTTCCAAATATTTGCAGGAGATGAGTGAAGAATATTATCATGGAAATAGCGGCGTTTAGCAGCTCTTACCATCTGATTACAGCGGTTCCTCTTGGTCTTGAAACAGACCCAGTATTCTTCTGTCCTACACTTCTTGAATTTACTAAAAGCTCTGATACGTCTCCTCATCGCAATGCGGACCAGTGGAGTCATCCAAGGTGCAGGAGGTCTTTTAACTCTCACTGTGCGAATTGGTGCACGTTTATTGAAAAATGATAATAAGACTCCATTAAAAGCATTTACCTTTTCTCCAGTTATTGCTGCAGATAAGACACTGTTACTCAAGCATATTTTAAATTTGGAATTACATGATTTTCATTATCCTCTTCAGTTGTTCGTTAGGTTTCTACTTTTACCATTTAGATATTTTTTGAATCTTTATGATTCATGGCGTTATTATCTTGAATTTAACAATAGTTGTACTTCGAATACTAAGTCGTTTAACCTTTTGAGTGCGACCTCGACCTCGTGCTTGGCCGTTTTTGCTTATACGTGTGTGATAAATTTAGCTTCCACTTTTTAGTATGCTCCTGCAACGTTATACCAGAGATCATTAAGGACAATAGCGACTACAAAGAAGGTGTAAGCCGTTACGTATGGTTGTCCAAAGATAATGGCGAGTTAGTTAAAGTAGATATACAAGAACCCGTCATTGCTGAGACAGCGGGGAACAGGAATGGAGCTAACAATCAATACTGGCTTTTTACAAGGTCAGTTACAATATAGTAGCGAATGGATTACAAATTAATTGTTATATGACGCATATATTCATATCTCTAGGTACCTACATGGTATTGAAAACTTGTTAATGTTTTGATAAAATTGATTTGATTTTCGGCTTGAAATTAAATAGCTGTCATTAAAGTTTAATGGATTACACTTATCAGTTTTATGACAATATCTATTATTTTGATTATTTAATGTTCAAATTGCTTCAATCATCATACCCTATGGTGAAGTTATTGTTTTATTTAATCTAGATATACCATTGAAATTTAAATTTTCAGACAAAACCCCGGAAATCCACAGTTCCTATGGAACGGCAACGGTAATTCCGTCACCGGCTCCAACTATCGAGCGAACAGGCCTACCAACGTCATCATCCACGGTTGGACCAATAACGGAAACTCAGTTATCAATACTTTCGTGCGAGACGCTTTGCTCGCTGTTCAAGACTGCAACGTTATCGTTGTTGATTGGAGTTCCATCGCTGGTGGCTCTTACGTGAGTGCCGTTACTGGAGTGCCTGGCGTTGGGCAAGCTATTGGCAACTTCTTGAATTGGCTCATCAGCGCTACCGGTGGCAACTGGAACAACATCCATTTGGTTGGATATAGTTTGGGTGCACATATCTCTGGTGTTGCTGGTCGCCAAGTCGGAGGAAGACTGGCGAGAATTACTGGTAAAGAAACATTTGTTTCTAATATTTTGTATGCGAAATTATACTTATTTCTTATTCATATCATTACATACAAATCTTAATAATCTTATGTGTTCACACTCACCAAGCATGTAATATACCAGGCCACTGAGAAAGTTTTGCGAAAAAAAGTTTTTATGTATTAGACACTGGCCACTTGTAATTATTTTGAAAACTTCGATTATTTAAACGTGAAAATACCACTGTTCGATTTCCAAATTTCCCTCCGCATTTACGAGAGCCAATTAAATATTTCTTGTGTGATTAAAAAATGGATCTGCTTCGAGAACATTTTGCATTGAAGCGCTAGCAGCGATTGAGAAGGCCGTGGAGGAGGTGTCTGCGGAGGACTGGAAAAAAGGTTTTGAAAATTGGTTCAGATACATGGAACTTTGTATAGAGGCTGGCGGAGAGTTTTTTGAAAAGGTTTAATAAAAATATTTTTTTCATAGGAGTTAGTTTTTTTAGTTTCTCAAAACTTTCTGAGTGTCCCACGTATTTACCACGTTTTAAACGGGTGTAAGCTTGGCTTAATAACTTTTTAATTATTTCTGAGGTTACAGATCCTTTACAGATTTACGACCACGGAGTCTGTAATGGATCCTAAACGATGAGAATAATATAAAAAGTTAACAAATCGCGATTTGTACCATTGAAAAAGTGTTGTATTAAAGGCGTTTATAATGCTATATTACAGGATTAGACCCGGCTGGCCCTCTCTGGCAAACTAACTCCAATAGACTAAGCAGCAACGCCGCCCAATACGTGGAGGGCATCCACACAGATGGTGGCTTGCAAGGGATATTCAATCCTGTTGGGGACGCGGATTTTTATCCCAACGGAGGGAGAAACGTCCAACCCGGCTGTGACGGTAGCGGCTGCTCCCACGCCCGCTCATATGAGTTCTTCGCATCTTCCGTTCGCACGAACCATTTCGTTGGCAGAAGATGTACCAATATTAACCAAGCGCAAAATGTACAATGCACAGGAGCCACATTCAACATGGGCAATGCAATCATGAACAAACGAGGGTAAGATATCCTTAGGATTTGATTGGAAAAATGATAGCAAATTAAATTTTGTTCTGATTATGAATAATAATTTTTCAAAATTTATAATTATGATATACGTTTAAGCTTTTGTGAATTTGTTTGACTATGTGGGTTTATTTAGAAAAAATTAAAGAAATAGAATATAATTTATAATACAATCTGCTGCATTGATGATTGTTTTTTTGTTCAACTACCTAATCGTCAGTGGCAGGCCGTTTGCTAGTGCATAGCATGGTCATTAAAAAGGAAAGTTGTACCCGTGTGCATTCCATTAATATAATAAATATATATTCTTCATTTGTTTCAGAAACGGTCTGTTTGGCTTAAGAACCGGCGCTGCTTGGCCATTCTAATAAAATTTACAAAATTACATTAAATCTCTTTTATTAATGACTCCATTTAGTTACTTCAATAAGTCATAATTTTTTGCACTACACAGAATGCTTTCTGTGGAACATGTTTTGGAAAAAAATTAAGGTTTATTGTGAGTGCAACAAAGTAGTTTTTTATTATTTTAACTTTAATCTTTTTTATGATAAAAGGGTGAAAAATAAGCATAATTATGGCCCACATGATGGTAAGCGGTCACAGTAGCCTATAGTCTCTTGTGATATCAAATAAAAATATAATTCGCGCCGTTGTCTACCCTGACCCAATCCCCTACCCCGAGGAGCCCTGGAACTTTACTCGCCGACAGAAACACAACACCAACAAAAGGTATTGTTATTTTACTGTGATCTTATGTAAGGGGTTGTCCATTAATCACGTGATGCTCGAAATGGGGTCCATAAAAATCACGAAATATCACAAGGGGGAGGGGGGCTCTACAGCTCCCTAATATATCACGTGTATTTTCGTGGTCAGAGGATACAAAAAACGCCAAAAAAAACCTCACGTCATTAATGGAGGGCCCCTAAGGTGCGGGTGACTTCCCCAGACGGGCGCTCCAATTTGAGTGAAAAATCAGCTACCTCTTTTAGTTTAGTTTGTTTTTGAAGTTAATGTAAGAATGCCATGTTTTCAATAGGAAAGGGATATCAGGAACAGAGCAGGATCCAATCTGTGTATTTGGTGTATTTTGAAATTATTACCCCTATAATAACATTTAGTGCAGCGTATTTATTATTAACAACGCAAAGTACGTAATCGCCGTGTTTTTCACGTAGTGCCTTAAGAAATTATAATAGCTAATACTTTTTAATGCAAGAAAAAATGAGATAAGCAGTAAACTAAGGATCATTATTAAAGTAGTTGGCACTGCAACCGGCCGTGGGTCAGCGATCTTCATTGCAAACAATTATGTATCTAAAACTTTGATTTAGTACTTAGCAGGAATCGCGTCACAAACCGGAGATGCCTTCTTAAAATATGGATCGTAATCTGCTTGATATCGAATATTCAAAGGTAGAAATAGAACAGTATCATAATAGGAAAAATCTGAAAAAAGTAGGTAGTCCAGTAGATGTACACTTAATTAATCGACTTGCCCGAAGAACAAGTCAACACGAACAAGTCCGATGAGATCATAGAGCAAAAACGGGTTTATTCGCTGGGTGAGACATGAAATACAAACTCTACAGGCGTATGTGTTTAAAATTTTCGTATCTTATTTAGTTTCGGAATATAGAATCAAGTAACGTTTGATGTGGCGTCTAAATGCACGAATTGTACGGTCACAGTGCACGCTGGTTTAGAATCAGGTTCAGACTCAGAAAACAAGCTCGAGAAATAAACAGTGTAGTTTAAGCAGGGTGGCCATAGTGGCAGCAGGCAACTGGTTGCCCGCGCAGGGTTCGGAGTCAGAGACTTTACCGGAATGTTTAGGTCAATCTTGTTTCAAATACTGAATTCACCAGCGCCGCTCGGACTGCAGGTTATAGTTGTTTATGTAACCTTTTTCTTAGTTGTGTTATAAACAATCATTTAGTGCTTTGCTTCTTGTTTGGGATCTTCTCTTGTTTCTTGATTTATATTTTAGAATTAACATAATGAATATAGAAGCGGTTTTCCTTAACCCTGCTTTATGGAATAAAAGAGACAAGAACCATTCAAATAGGAATGTCGTTGTTAGGTGCTGGCAACATCGCTGGAGAAATGGGTGTTTAAGGTAAAGAAATTCTTATTTCTTGTACTCTCATTTTTAATAAAATTTATTATATTATATTCTAAAACGCGTATTGCGTCGTACTGATTATTACAGAAAGTATAGCATAAAATGTAAACATAAATTAAATTAGGCAGCACATACCTACATATCTTTTTTAGATATCCAATCATTCCATGAAATGATTGCGTTTGTAAAAAAAATATTAGCTTTAAATTGTTACGATCGCACGTCTCGCGTCCACGTCTTGTATTATCTGCCTCCACTGCGGCCATCACCTGCTTTCCTCAAGCTGACATCTCATGAGCCTGTTTTCCGTGTCTGAATCTGATTCTGAACCAGCGTGCCCTGTGGCCGTACCCTATAATCATAATAATCATAATCAAAATCATTTATTCAGTTTAGGCTGTTACAAGCACATAGGTATCAATGTCTAGAAGCTACGCCATCGGTTCGTTAGTCTACCTTGTACTGAGAAGAACCGGCAAGAAACTCAGCAAGGGCTGTTTTTTTCTCCCTGTTTTATCATTTACAGAGTCAAGTTAAAAAATGACTTCAGAGATGATTCATGAAGTCACCTTTCATTACATAATGTGAAATTATACATAAATTGTTTGCCTGCATTTTGATTACTGTGTCACACAGTATAAATACAAATTGAGTTATTTATAATAGGTGTAATTAAACATTTACATCTTAAATATCAAAGTAGTTAGGGCAGACTCATCTCCGCTGGCAGCACCCGTTCACGAGCATGACGCATGAACCAGCTATCGCTTCGCTCAACCATACTTTAGGGAACGTAACGAGCTGCCTCACACGCCATCACCGAAAAGATATTTAAGAGAGCATGACTACCCATAATCACCTATATCAACCACAACATATTTACTTAAAATTAAAAAAGTTGTTTTTCTCCCTGTATTATATACAGATTCGTCAATTTGAAAAATGACTTCAACATGAGATAACTCATGAAGTCATTTTCCATTACAAATGTAAATGATAAAACAATTATGACTATAAAATAAAAAATATAAAAAACAGATTTAAAAAAAAAGTTTAGGAATGCCGTGATCTACTGTTTAGGCATAAAAACAAATGTTAAAACGATTTAAGTTAAATACAACGATTAATAGTAGCCAATGTAGCAAGAGCAGACTCATCTCCACTGGCAGCACCCGTTCACGAGCATGACGCATGAACCAGCCATCGCTTAGGGAACGTAACGACCCGCCTCACACGACACCGCCGAAGAGTTTTTTAAGAGAGCATGACTACTCATAACCACATATGGATACTATATTGCAAAATAGGAAAAAAATAAGTACCAGTGTACATTTCTATAAATAACTATAAACACAACTGTAGGACACATGCATGTGATTACCTAAACACTAGTGTAGACTCTGCCCCGTGCCCCCCCCCCCTCACCCCGTCGCTCTGTATAGAGAATGACAAGGATACACCACTGCAAAACCAAAGTTCAGGTCTAGAGAACCATGCCAGAATCCACACCACCATTTAATCTTTATCTCAGAAATAATAAATTTTCACCTAAATTTTGATTGCTGTGCCATACAGTATATATACAATTATTATTATTTAATTTAATTCCAATATGTTCAACTTTTACATTAGGTAAAGAAAATGGAATACACTTGGTTTTATTAGCATTTAGCTTTAGATTATTAACATTAAAACATTTCAAATTTTGCGAGAGAGCATTATTAATATCGTCATAGTTGTTCGTTCGTTCGTCTGTCAGAGAGCTGTAATTGTGGATGTGGAGAGATATGTATATCAATCACAACGTTTTTTTAGGGTAGTTCCCCTACATGTTAATGTTTTTTTTATATCCTCTAGTCTATCGTGTGGGATATCGTTAAGTAGGTCCTTTAAAATTACTTAGGGTTTCCTAAGACTATTTTCCGTTTGCGAAATATTGAACTTTAAAGTGTTCATTTTTGTTCGAGTAGGGCGACCGACCTCTAAAAGATAAATTATTTGCTTGAAAAACCTGGAAATGAGGATTGAGGTCAAGATAGGCAACGTGCGAGTGATATACTGTTATTATACAGACGATTTCTGAGGAAGCCGCTTCCCCAACAGTCTGGACATAAAGGTTGAAAACAAGCTATCTTCGGACGATAAGACGTGGACAAGGTCTTCATCCGTACGTGGTTGACATTCCTGCACTGCGCACCTCGCGCGTCTGTATTCCTCAATTCATAAAGAGATCTTCAAAGCATGAGTAAAAAGGCAATATTTGAGCTTGCGTGCTCCAGATAAGACCACATAGTTCGATTGTGGTCAAACGCATTCAAATCTTTAATTAATAAAAGCAAACTTTTTGTATCCAAAAAAACTTAGGAGAAATTGTAATTCATAAAAGTTTTTAAGAAAAACAGTGAACTTGTAATTTATTAACGCTTCGGCTAACAATTTTGACAATTACCAAGACGATATACCCAATGTTTAGGTGGGAATATCGAGGAATACATAGGTTTCTATGGTCGAACTGATCTATATTTTAATCGGAATATCGTTTGATAAGTGGCCAAATCGTGGAATAGCAGCTTATAAGGATAAAGAATCTCACCAAATCCAAAATCTGGTTACGACAACAAATCGCACATAGATAACATGAATAGGTATATACCTTTTTTGTCGCAAATGATAAATTTTATCAAATGCGTAAAAGATGATTATTTACTTACCATTTGACTAGTGATGACGTAGGAAAAACCAACATTTTTATCAGTTAAATTTTCCAGTTACGCCGATAGTCTTTTAATTGATGAAGAATCAATGTTATCGAGTGAGCGAAGAGAATGAAATTGATGTATACTATAATGCTTTTCTCACACCTGCGCGACGAAGCTTTGGGTTGATCCGTAATCTATCTATCTATCTAGGCTATCGTAAGTACGCTCCTTCAGTTGCATAAACAAATTTATCGTCTCTCACAATCGTTTTCAGGCGTGTCAAAAATCAACAGCCAGGCTATCGGCTAATACACGCAGCTTATAATTATATCGCTGATACTAAAGTACCAGGAGAATTCCAAGAATCAGCATGAGTAGTGTTTTGTAAACAAGATTAAGAAAGACAGATTTTTACTGGATCCGGAATACTGTATTGTGTGCAATCTTGCTCATACAACTTGCAATACTCCATCAAATAACGGACCTGAAAAACCTTAGAGCATTTATGACGTAAATGCTCTAAGTGGAAAACGAATCGCTTATGTGTACGTGACCTAAGACACGGGCGGGAGCTATTCGTTAATAAAGTAAATAATATAATTAGCAAAATAATTAAGAATAAACGGTATTTTTTATGTTTACAGAAATAAAATGGGATATTTTCATCAACTATTCAAAGTACAACATGTTATTACCTTCTTGTTGATATAAAATAGTTTAGTAAGGTAATTTTGAAGGCAAAAGAATCCTAAAATTCATCACTTAAACTAGGCTACGGTTTGGATTATACCTCACGAAGTTTCATTTTTATCTCTACAGTCAGTAGCTAAAGAGATATTAATTAATTACACGTTGACGCATTATTTATCATTTAATCCATAGATAAATAAATAATCGGTAATAACAATTGAATCTGTTGTTATAAAAACCGCCTATCGGCAATTTTAATTGTTGTAGTTCAAAGTCATAAGGGATCATGAAATATATACTGCTCTTCTCTGTCGTTATAGCAGGTAGATATTTTTTTAATATTTAAAAAAGTTAAGCATTTTAATATAGTAAATTTGTGCTATTTCCCATTCATTTTTCGGATGTATATCATGCTAGTATAGATGTTCCTAAAATATATATAATTTCATTTTTAGTTAATTTTCTCTAAGGGCTCTTATATACGAAGTCCTGCCAGATAAAAATAAGAAAAATAAAAACCTGACTCCACGCCTCGGGCGGGTAGCGCAAGCAACGGTTTCTAAATTTTTTAAATTTTCTGCGCAGCTATGTTATTTTTGAAGTGAAACTTTAGTTTCTATAACATATAAAAAATAATTTTATAACATATTGTTTACTAGCAGAACAGAAAGATATTAATATGAAAAAAAAAACAAAGCTTGACTGCCGGGTATCGGGTGGCGTTCTAAGTTCCGTTTTCTAAAATTTTGTAATCTTCTGCGCAACTCTTTTGTTTTTTCTTTAAGGACGTTTTTCAAAACTACTTTATTTCAACTAGTTTTAATTCATTCAAATTATGGTGTGACCAAGGGAAACAGAGTTTATTTTATATATCTATAGTTAGATTAATATTTATAAGTGTTTACTGTGGAGGGCCGTTTGTTGTACTATTGTAATCAATCATTCAAATATGAATTACTAGCGACCCGCCCTCGCTTCGCTTCGGTGTAGAGCTGAAGTGTAGACAGTTTTTGTTCTCAGGCTTGTATTAAACACAATGACATTCATCTATGATTCTTCTTATACCTGCATGCAAAGTCTCAGCCCGATCGGTTTAAAATTGACAAAGTTTCATACAAACTTTCATTCCCTATTTTATCCCTTTGGGGGTAGAATTGATCAAAATCCTTTCTTAGCGGATGCCTACGTCATAACATCTACCTGCATGCCAAATTTCAGCCTGATCCGTCCAGTGGTTTGGGCTGTGCGTTGATAGATCACTATGTCAGTCAGTCACCTTTGAGTTTTATATTATATTACTCATAAAAGATAGATATATATGGTGTTGCAGAATTTTTTGTAGGACTATTTAAGATAAATATTTTCACCATATATTATATACATGTAGCACTAACTGTTTTTGCAGCACACGCCTGAATAGCTCGCAGATTGCAGAATTTTTTCAGACTTAAATGACATTTATCGTTATATTTTGGACAATTCACACAATATCTTTATAAATTATAGCCTATGTGTTATTCTGATCTATAAGCTACATTACTGTAAAGTTTCATTAAAATCCGTTTAGTAGTTTTTGCGTGAAAGAGGAACAAACATCCATCCATCCAAACAAACTTTCGCCTTTATAATATTAAGTAAGGATCATGACCTTACTGTGAAATACTTTTTTTGGCCATTAATCAATACAAGTAAATTAGTTTACTCGACACGGAATTGTAGTAAATAGGTTTAATCACAAATATCAAATGCAAAACGAGATGTGTTTTCAGTTTAATTGTTATTAAATAAGTTTTTTTTTTTTTTTTTTTTTATTATTACCAGTTTCAAAGAAATATAATTATAATGTTGTGATCAATCGCATCTTAAACCACAGAGGTTTGAATTTATGCGATGATGTACGCCTGCACGACAATATTTAAATTGCTAACGGAGTTATTACATTAATAAAAAATAAAAAAATGGTATGAATGCACATTTAAAATAGACAAAATATATTGGGCTTGGATAAGTACATTGTATAGGTAATAAGGAAATATATTTTTATAATTGTTTAAAAAGTATTCTTTTAATTTATTTTTAATATTAGCGTTTGTAAGAGTGACCCGTAATTCCGGTGGTAATTCATTGATAAATCTGGGAAGTAGGTAGGTGGCAGTTCTTTTGCCGTATACATTACATGCGCGACTCGTCTGCAGCTGGTTCATAGCCACTGCGCGCGTGTACACGGGGTGATTTATTGCTTTTTTAAGATCATCGTTAAAGAATTGCATTTTAATAAAAATGTATTTAAACTGAATAAAAACAGGCAAGACACGGCAATGTTTAAAAAGACTAATATCGTCATTATGATATTTTCGTCGTATTTTACCTGATACAATATTCTTTAAAATTTTAAGTTGGAGGTTATGATTCGGCTAGAGAGTAGTACAGCATTAGTTTAACTTTATAGGGAATTCTTTTCTTTAAAATTATAATGTTGGCCAAAAATTGTCTGAGTTTATTGCAAATATAATCTACGTGATTATTCCAATTTAAATTATGATCTATTAGTAAACCTAGATATTTCTGAGTACTAACAACATCTATGCAAGGACAAGCACAAGATCCTGCCCTATGCCGGTGCAGGCAATGATGACTGTGACCAACAATGCTTTTCAACACATCGGAACTCCTAATGTAGGGGGACTTGATTACTAGCAATTTGGTCTTGTTGGTGTTAATAACAAGACCAGAATCATGACACCATTTTGCTAGAGAATTAAAGTCTGATTGAAGCTGATCGCGAGCTACCTGGGGATCCCTGCTTGCAACCACTAAACATGTATCATCGGCGAATTGGTAACAAGAGCTATGCAAAATACTTTGACGCATTTCATTCACATAAGATAGAAAATGGAGAGGTCCAAGCACAGATCCTTGAGCCGTGCCCTCTGTCACTGATACTGATTCGCTATACGCATCACCTATCCGCACGGTGAATTTTCGGTTTTGTAGATAATTCATACACCAACTTTGGAGCGGTCCTCGCACCCCACAAGCATCTAACCTCGTAATCAGTTGCCTATGGTTTAACGTGTCAAATGCACGCGAAAAATCAATGAATAAAGCCAAGACGTGTTTCCTCTCGTTAAGACACTCATTTACCTCATCCGTAAACTTAAGTAGCAAGTCATTAGTGCCTTTCCCAGCTTGAAACCCGAATTGGTTACGATAAATAACTTCGTGCCTTTTGTAAAAGTTGTGTATTAGTTGGCATACATATTTTTCGACTATCTTATCAATAGAAGATAATAAGGTAATTGGTCGATAATTTTGGTAATCATCACGTCTTCCTTTCTTGTGTAATGGTCTTACACAGCCTACCTTCAATTCATCTGGATAAGTACCCGTTCTAACACTCACATTTATTAGGTTCGCGATGGCCAAAGCTACATTAGGTCCTGCGCATTGAATATCAGAAACACTTATATTATCTGGACCTGGTGCCTTTTTTAAATTCAATTTCTTAATTATTTTTGAAACTTGATCATTGGTGGCATTTTGAAAATATACACTAGAGTTCACAGATTTATTGCATATAGTATAAGGTTTTTGTAATTTAACTTTACATTTCGGTATTATGTCTTTTACAGCTTCATCAAAACCCATGGCAAAGTTATTGGCAACTTCTTTGTTAGTAAGATCCTGATTTTCAAAAGCTTTTAAAACTGCTTCATCGATGTTAAGCGTCACTCGACCTAACATCTTATTAACGATCTGATAAACTTTTTTTGTGTTTTTAAAATTACTTTGTATGTGATTTATATAGAACTTATTTCTTTGTTTTTCCAAAATTTTATGTACTTTATTCCTTATTTTATTAAACTCTAGTCTTAATGCTGGGACATGTGGATTGCGTTTCCAGTCACTAAAGAGTTTGTCACGTTTTCTGCACAATTTTATAATGTTTTTGTCAATCCATGGTAGTTTATAATTTATTTTGTTTTTATATTTTTTTTCATATTTTTTAATAGTTAACGCAGCAGTTTTTGCATTTTGAAATGATTGTTTGATAAAATTGTAAATATTATTTGCCGATTTCATGTTGTTTGTTTGCAACCAGTTAATTATCTTAAGTTCATTTTTAAACAAATCATAATTTATGACCCGTTTAATAAAATCACCCCGTGTGGAACCACGCGCAACGTCGCCAATGCATGTGATAATAATGGCACGGTGGTCAGCCAGTACAGTATCCAGCGCCGCCGTGTACGGATGCAATGTAGGTAGTCGAGCAAAAATGTGGTCAATGCAAGACTTTGTGATTAAATTAAGCTTTTGTTCTATTCGTGTATAGTCGGTAATTCCACACGTCAATCCACATTCACTAAGTGTTTCTAAGTATTTATCAGTATGTGATGATATACTTTTGAGGTCAATGTTTGTATCACCAATCAAAATGAAGTTTTGTTTTGTGTCGTACTTCGAAATGTGCTTACCCAACTCCATAACAAACAAGTGTTTATTACTTTTAGGCGCTCTGTACAAAGCACACACGACTATATCCTGGCCACAGTTTAATTTTAAAATTCCAGTTAGGTTTTCAAATGTTTCTGATGAATGAACAATTGGTGTAAATTTAAGATGATTTTTTATATAGACAATAATACCACCTCCACGTTTGCCAGAACGCAGCCGCGAGTACATACAGTAGCCATCCAATGTATATAATTGTGAAATATAATCGGAAATACCGGCTTCAGTTATAATTAAAACATCTAAAGGAAAGGTACAATCGTGAATAATTTGCTGTAATTTTGTGAAATTTTTTATCATTGATCTAATATTAATATGTAAGCATGTAATGCTTATATGATGATTATTAGGAAGTTGTTGCAAAAAAGAATTTGTGGAGGTACAGTTAGTCAACTTATTTATGTGTGTCCCCATTATGAAAGTTAAAAGTAAAATCAAAACCATTAAATAATTGTGATAAACATATTAGAGATCGCTAGGGATAATCAATTGTTTTTTGATACGAATAATATCTGAAATGGACTGAATATAGTAAATTCTACTATTCTCACTTTTACGAACACATACTTTACCATCTTTATACCACACAAATTTAAAATATGTACTTAGCTGAGTTTTCGCAGTATACAATAAAGTTTTAAAATATTTAGTTAATGCTTCCCTTAGATAAACACGGTTCTCCGCCTTCTCCTGGGTGATTTCTGGCAATATTTCTCCGAGGGTTAGGCCTTTTTCTTTGCTAAACTCGATCCATTTGCTTCGTACAGCACCACTCTTCATTTGGACGAGGATAGGGCCTGGCTTTTCCTTAGTACCTGGTAGACGTGTTGACGACTGAATATCTTCGTTGTCCATATCCAAGTTAGTAGCTATTTTCTCAAGTACTTGATTTATTTCTTTTGGAGGTATATGTGGGAGACCAACAATTTCCATTGTGCTTGAAAGGCGCTTCTGCTCTACTGTATTCATTGATTGTTCTACAACACTCATCCTTAGTTCGAGATTTTTGTTTTTATTAATCAGATCTTGGTTTTTATTTTCTAAATCCTTAATGATACTATCTTGTTTTTTAATAGATTGTTCCATAGTCGATATTTGTTCGCTTAGAAACTCTAAAGACGACTCAAGACCGCCTATTTCTTCCTTGAAAGATTTTTTTAACTCATGACTGATATCCTGCACCAACTTACGGGTATCGATGTGGCTTGGGTTGAATCCAGAATCAGATTCTTCATCAGCGTCATCATCATCCGGTATCAAGAACGATGACCTTCGAGACAGATTTTTCAAACAGTCTTCGCAGCTCCATTCAATTCCAGGAGAGTTACGGAGTGTATTCAGCTGCTTATTGGATAGTTTCGTACACGTAGCATCCGCATGAACTATCTTCTCGCATCTGCTACATTCCAATCCGGGCATCTTCTTAGTGATGTTCTTTTTGCACTTCGAACATTTTTTTAACACCATTTCGGGTAGATACAATATTTCCGCTAGCAATAACTCAACGCAACTACACACATCAACGTATCAGCGTAGACTGATGTATATTTTATCTTTAAAATTTGACATAATATGTATTATACAATACATACTTCTGTGACTCAAAATTTTTGTTTTACAATTGTGCTAACTTTATGACTTTGAAATATAATGGTTTAATTTTTCGTACACTTAGTTAAGTATTAAATAAAAGCAAGTCATTTGGTAAAAATTACTACTTTTTTTAACACATTGATGACCTAGTATGTAAGTACCTATGTACTTTAACTAAAAGAAAAATAGAAACAATAGAAATAGAATATTTGGTGGATGATTGAAATGTATATGTATGAATTGATACGTACAGATGAAACATGTGAGTTTGAGAACTCCACAACTTTCACAAAACAGTGAAAGTAAATGGTTACTTATAGGAGTCACTTCATCGATCGGCACAATTATTTTTTATTGATATATTTTTCTCAATTTTACACAAACTTAATTTACTAAAGCTTTCTTGGATAATAAACATGATTATATAAATGTAACGTTTTCGGTAACTTTATCTACACTATTGCTCGCTACTATGCTTGTCCGATTTTTTATGTCAAAAGTGGGGCAAACAACCATATGGCCAACCTGATGGCAATCGGCCACTATAGCCCATAAATGCTTGCGATACAAAAATATCACTAACGCCGTTGCCAACCCTGACCGAATCCCCTACCCCGTGGAGCCCTGGAACCTTACTCACCGACAGAAACCAAAACAGCACCACCAAAAGGTGGTGTTATTTTACTGTGGTCTTCTGAAAGAAGAGGTTATTTCCCCAGACGGGCAACTAGAGCGGGAAATCCCCTATGCCCTACTTCTCTTATTCGATATGATCAACGTCTGTACTGACTTGTTAAGAGTACTTTAAAAAAATCACCAACATAGTTAAACCTTTCCTTTTAGCATCAGCTGCGAACGTAATCAAAGACCCCACCGCGGGTTACAAGGAGGGAGACAGATTTTTCTACTTCCCTGGAGATGGAGATAACATTTTACACCTGGTTGATTCAGAAGAGCCTGTTGATGAAGACTTCCTTCGCAGCATTGCCAGAAATGCTAACAATAATGGCTACTGGCTCTACACCAGGTATGGAACAATTCCTTTAAGATGTTATGTATTCCAAACGATTGATATGGCCACTGTACCGAATGTATCATTGACTTGCACCATTATTGGTGCAGGTGGAACTGTTTTTTTTATATTATTTTTATTCAATTATTTTACAATATGTCTTTAAACTAGATTATTCTGTAAACACCTTAAAATAATATGCTGTCCGTACTCGAGGCTGCTATTTGATATAGCCAGGGGCGCGGGCAGAAATCGGAAAGAGGAAGCATAGAAGTATAGTAAAGATAAACGTAGGTATACAAGAAAATAGGGAGGTGAAAAACAAGAGAGAAAAGTTAATTCACATTAGACCCGTTAAATACTATTGATTAATTTCGTGCCGTTTGTACCATTAATGGGAAAAACTAACCACCGTACCTATAGATAGTGTCATCGGCACCATAGTGATGATACTTATACAAAGGAAGGTATTGTTTGCTCTTTGCATGTTAAAATTTAATTTTTATCTCAATAATTGTTAAATTGAAGAAAATTTACGTAATAACAATGAGTGAAACATTAATTGCACATAATCGAGGATTTGGAGTTAATTTGTTTATTCACTATTTGTTTTTTCAACATTATTTTTTATAATGAGGAAAGATAGGGGAAATTCATTTTTATGGTGCAAACAAAAGTAATCAGATGCACCTGCATTAATTAATGGTGCATTCGGTACAGCGGCTTAATGTAATACTTTAAAGAACTTAGATGTAGTTTTCTGAAACCTGTATCTGATCCAAAAGGCATGCGAGCAAAATTAAAATATATACCTAATAATAGGTTTTCTCTAAAACCATCAATCATATTAAAATTACAGAGACAACCCTGATAGTCACCAAGTTCTTCAAATCGACAACCCTGACAGTGTGTTGAACTCGAACTTCGATTTTTCGAAGACCACCGTGTTCTTAGCTCACGGTTGGAACGGTTATGGACAGAATCATATGAACCGACGCCTTAGAGAAGGTAAACAGGTTATAATACAATGTTATTATCCATTATCTTCATTAAGCATTCTTAGTAATTACACGGTTCCCATTTGCTACTGCGGATATTTAGTTATTTTTAATTTTGGTACTTATTCGTGATTTGGAAGGCTTAATAATCCTTTGGTTCTGGCTGATTTAGAAGTTGTGAATGACACTTTTGCACTAATTATATTGAATACTCTTGCAAATGTTATGTGGCTAGCTAACTTACAACTAGCTACTTAGACAAATACAAACTTTTATAAACCGTGTGTAGTAACTCAGATTACAGAAAAATGACAAAGAATAATCAAGATTTATTCCCATTTTCCAGCATTTCTGGATGACGACGACGTCAATATAATCGTGCTGGATTGGAATCGGCTGGCCAATCGCAACTATGTGACGGCCCGCAACGGAGTTCCCGCGGTTGGGCGCGGCCTGGGCCAGTTCATAAACTGGCTGGTTACACTGGGGGCGTCGTATGACAAAATGCACTTGGTCGGATTCAGTCTTGGCGGCCATCTGGTGGGAAACGCTGGCAGGGAGACTGAAGGAAGAATCAAGAGAATTACAAGTACTCCGATTAATTGTTTCTTTACTTAAGAATAAGTTTTGAAAAAAAAAGTAAGGCCGCATTGTTTCATCCGTAGTTAAATTTGACTATTTTACGTGAAAAATAACTAACTTAGTTAATGTCACGTGAATTACATAGTTAATATGTAATTTTTTTCTAGAGGATTAAACTAATGATTAGACAACGCGAAATATTGCCGAAGAACCGATAACCGTTTTGGTAGACGAGTTTTGGGGTGGAGACCGCGTCTAGGCAAACGTAGCGTAGGACGTCCTCAGGCACGATGGAGTGTCGATTTGCACAAGGTCGATCAGAATGGCGTGCAATTGGAGAGGCCTATGTCCAGCAGTGGACTAGGATATGCTGTTTGATGATTGATGATGAAATTAAAAATATAAATAAAAAAAAAACTAAATAGGATAGGAATAGTTTGGTGCCTAATAACATCTTGAAACATTGCGTGTTTAATGACGCAATGATTCCACAAGAAGATTTGAAAGACCTCAGACCAAAGCGCGAGTTTTGAGAGCTCCGTAAAGTATAGTAATCGCTAAAGTTTCTATCAAAACTAGGCAGTGCCCCTATCGGATGTAAGAACAAACTAGCCTTTTCCATACAAAATTTGACGATTACGTTACTTTATTTGTCTACCTACATCAAACTTCACCTAGCTGATAATAGAATGAAACATATTTTATTATGAATTTTGTATATTAGAAAATATATTAAAAATGGCTTGCCTAAAAATCCTGGACAGAATATTTTTAATTAATTTTAAATAATATTTCTAATTTAATGTTGCAACATCAAAATAATAGTGTAAAACGTATAAAATGTGCAGCCGTTGGATCGTCTTTATTTGTTGCCAGGTATAAACAGGTATGTCGATGCTAGTAACGTTACTTAACGGTTGCATATTCTATACGTTTTATACTTTAAATCAGGACACCATTTTCTTATTATTTTGATGTAAAATATTTATTTAAAATTTCATTAAAAATAATCTGCCCAAGATTTTTTTGGCAACCCATTTTTAATATACACACATCAAAAGTGTCTAGGGATCAACATATATTTTTGCAATAACTTTTCTCCTGATTGATATTAATTAAAATTTTCTTTAAGGATTCATCAAATAAAGAGTTTTCGTTTGTCACAGTAACGATAAACCAAGTCACCTTTGCATTAATAAAGAAATTTGCCATTTTCCTAATAAAGGGATTTTTGACATTTGAACCACTAACACAAAAGTTCGAAAAAAAGACTGAAATAACAGTTTTCTCTAAAATTTTATTGGGTAACTTAAACAATTAATAATCCGTATTTCTACCGCGAACACTAACAACACAAGAACATCGGTTTGGCATACTCAAAATGAGTTCATCCAAATCACGCTGTGGAATGGCCGCCCATGTTCGTTGCAACAACAAAAAAAGGTCTTCTTGCGACTGGATACCCTCCATATTCGGCGGAGCTCTTCTCTGTAGCATATCCCATGCATGCTCAATCGGGTTCAAGTCTGGCGACTGAGCAGGCCAGGGCAGGACATTGATGTTAGCTGCGGCGAGAGTCTGTCTTACAACTCTTGCGGTGTGCGGTCGTGCATTATCATGCATTAACTGAAATAAGGGACCGATTTGCACTTGTAGAGGAACGATGACGTCTGATACAATCGTCTCAGCATAAATTTGAGCGTTGAGGTTGCCTCTGATCCAAATCAACTCAGTTCTTCCGCCGATCCAAATACCCGCCCATACCATGATGGTTCCACCACTATAAGGATGGACTTCCTGGCAGGATTTTAATCGCTGTTGGCGTCCAGGGGTTCTCCAGTGTCGTATACGTCTTGTATCCGGTCTCATACCAAAACGAGACTCATCAGAAAAGCACACGAAACGCCATTGTTCTTCTGCCCAATTTCTGTGTTCAAGAGCCCATTGATATCGAATCCTACGATTGTGCATTGCTATAGGTGGTACCCGTAGCGGTCTTCGGGAATGAAGGTTCACTTCATGCAAGCGGTTTCTGACTGTTTGGTCACTAATTAAGTTCCCTGAAGAGTGATGAAGCCTCACGGCTAACATCATGGCGGTTATTGTTGGAGCTCTTCGAGTTAAGATTTGAATGTATCGGTCTTGTCTCCGTGTGGTGCAGCGATACCGTCCTCCATGGCGCTCAGCCACGGTACCAGTGCTTCGGTATCGTGTCCAAAGTCGACTGATAACACTCTGACTTGTATTCAGAGCTAAAGCCACAGTACGTTGCCGGGAACCAGCTTCTATCATTCCCACGGCTCTGAGCATTTCTTCCCTGCTTAAATGACGTCGCCGCTCCATAATAACGTTGGTTTTAATCAGTAGTAGGGAAACAGTAGCACTAATAATGTCTTCAATGCGTTGTATGTTTTTATAGGGAAAATATTGACAGTTGATTTTCATCTTTTACTCGAATTTGATTCACAGTTCCTGATTCAAATTATGAAATGCACCAAAAAGGATCCATATAAATTTATAAAATCATAAATTTATTACAAAGCCACATCTCAATCTCAAGAAATCCGCATAAAAATGCTTGATCCCTAGACACTTTTGATGTGTGTATTTTCTGATATACTGAATTCATGATTAAATATGTTTCATTCTATTATCAGCTCGGTGAAGGGTGATGTAGGTTCGGACAACTACTATATGGAGTTGTCAAAAATTCGCGTTTAAGCCTCTGTTAAAGCTTGATGTTTATTTTTCTTAGAAGCCACCTCTTTATCCTAGGAATTTATTTGAATCGGAAATATTGAATATCTATAGTTTTTGTGATATTGGCCAATTCAGCTTACCTTCCATTTTATTTTCCAGGCCTGGACCCGGCCGGTCCTTTATGGTCCAGGAACCGAGATCGTATGGGGAGGAGCGACGCTCAATACGTAGAAGTGATCCATACCAACACAGACTTCTTGGGGTACACGAACCCCCTCGGCGACGCCGACTTCTACCCGAACGGCGGCGGCAGCATGCCCGGCTGCTTCCTCAACTCCTGCTCGCATGACAAAGCCATCTCGTACATGGCTTCGTCGGTGAGGAACAGACATTTGCACGCGAACCGATGCAACACGCACAGGGATGCTACCCGGAACAGATGCAGTGGCGATTTAGTCCCAATGGGTAACGGCGACTTGGATAAGTTTGAGTAAGTTATATTTTTTGTTTACTATTTATACTATTTTATGGTCACTTACATTACAGTAATTTATATTAATTAATTGCTACCATGTACCTTGCTTTTAGCTTCGATATTACGGCACTGCAGGCGCCATAATCACGGAGTAACTCCGTAGTAGTGAGTTACTCCGTGATCATGGCGCTTGCAACTAAATAACATAAATAACTGTAATATGTATGTACTATCATAATGTTTCATTTTAGAATATATTTTCAATCGGATCAATAAAAAAGATGTGAAGATAGAAATGAAAAAAGTGGAAAAACTATTTTTATAATGCATTCACTGCACTTAAAGTCCTATGAAGAGAGTGTCAGCATCAAATTTAGTCAAACTTAAAAGTTACTTGTAATTGTAGATAACCATTAATTTCATCATTCTTCTTATCGATTAAGGGCATTGTTCAGAAAAAATAAAATGTGGGGTGTAGGTGCTTACATTATAGAAAAAAGGAGGCGTAGCGTATTTTTACCTTAGTTATAATAATGTAAATATTATCGTTCTGTGATGCCGCACGATGATAGTGACGGATTTATTTACTTTTTGAGCCACTTAGCATCAATTATCTATGTGAAGACCCACCTAAAACACTGTACAAAGTGCTTAGTGCGTTAAAATTTCAAACATTCTAAATTTGAGTAAACTGTAAAAAAGTATGTACAAAAACACAAAAACTATTATTATTTTACTACACATAATTTTTAATACAATATCTTTTTTATCCATAGGTCTGGTATATTCCGAGTGAACACAGGGAGAAATTATCCGTATTGATGACATATCTTCAATCTTGGATACCTTTAAAATAACTTGATTTCATCTTGCCACGCCTTGTAAGTACGACATTAAACTTAATAAAGTATTATGAAGTGCCATCACTGAGGTTTATTATTTAACTTTATATCCTGCACCTGAAACAAATATAGGAACATTCGTTATGGTCAGCTTATAAATAATTTCCTTGTTGGGGCATAGGCCTTCCCTATGGACAAGATTATATAGAGAAATCGGGCCGGTACCCATCAAGCGAATCGTTCGTGAATTTGTGTCTTAACAACTGAACATGCAAACGGGAAGACCGCCTTCTAGCGGACGTCAAGACGAACATCAGATTATCATCCTTTTTTGGTTGCTGTGCATTTCCTCCCATTTTTGTTTTGTTTTTTTTTTATTTGTAACAACATGTGTAAGAATATAGTGCATAACATTTCGTGCAATATCCGCATACAAATGAATTATTATTTATGTTCATAATTATTATTCTAAGATTCAAATTACAAAAATCTTAATGTCAATACTGTCAACATAATAAAAAATGGCAATAAATTGGGCATATACTTTAAATAATATGTTAACTTTCAAATCAATAATTAATCAAATATCAATAAATTGGGCAAAACCGATTTATACATGTCAATACTGGCAATTCAATAATTAAATGTCAATAAAATTGGCCAAAACTATAAATAATGGTCAGTCACCAACTTTGCACCAAACGTTTCTCAAATACTTTATAATGCGTACAGTGAAGGAGTTGAATTTCGTCTATGCTCCCTAGTGAGTACATATAATCCGAGTGTTTTCAAAGCCAGAGTGCATAGGTTCCTTGTGGTACTACACCGTTGATCCCATCTCTGCTCTCGGGCTGGATAAGATCAAGACTTAAACATCAAAGTAAAGTTGATATTTTAGAATCCTAGAGTGCCTATATCTACCTATACATAGAATAAAATGTCAATCACGTACCCGTTTCCGTTTCGCTAGCCAGTTTCTAACTACGGGTGCGTATAGCCTTTCATCTTGCACAGGCTTTTGAGAATTCACAATACTGATGAGGCAGGCTGCAACCACGGTGATGATGCAACCGAACGCGGTAAACCAAAGGTAGGAGAGGCGATACAAATAAGGAACCTCACTGGAAGAAAACGTAATGGAATATCTGACTTTAATCAATTCACGTATTTAGAATTTAATTCAAAATAAAAAAAAACTTTATTCATTTTAGGCTTTTACAAGCAAGCATTCATGTATGTCTAGAAGCTACGGAATAGGTTCGTAAATCTACGGCGGGCGACCTTGTACTGCGAAGAACCAGCATGAAATTCAGCAAGATCTGTTTTTTTCTCCCTGTATTATTATAATCAGAGTTGTTAAGTTGTAAATGCTAACTTACTAATGATTTTAAAATAAATTTTCTGTGGCCTATTTTAGGCTGCGCGTATATGGACTATTTCGTCATTCCGTGAGCATAGCGCAGATATTTCGTTTGTTTTACTAGGTTATTTCCGAACAGAAAGTTAGGTTTTTTTTCCATTTTGAAAAAATAAAATTTGTGTGCGCCTTTTTGAACATTTTGGAAAAAATCAAAATTCTGTGCGCCTTTTTGAACATTTTGTATGAGGTCTACGTATCGGAATTCCTGATAGGGAAACCGAATTAAGAAACTGTACCTATACACCCAGCCTATAATGTACTTAGAGGACTTTTATGTAAATATACACTTATTACCGCGTCCGTTAAGAGCTTCGAAGTTTTACCCCGGTTTGAGACAAAGGGACAAGTTGCCTTACAATGTGGAATCACCCGTTTCGACCATTATATTTTTTTTATCACATTACCTATTTGAGGATTCATCGGCGTGGATAGCCTGTTCAAAAGCGTAAGTACAGTTGAGAGTGAAGCGGGGTTTCTCGACAAATCTCAGAGAACCCCGCGCTTGTGCCACTTGAGACTGCGCCGCCAGATACCACGACGAGGAGAGCCCAAGTATACCACCGATAAGCGCATTCTGGAACAGAACTTATTCTTTCTTATCATCATGATCCTATTAATGTCCCCACTGTTGAGGCACATGCCTTTCCAATGGTAGGAATGGGGAGTTTGCACCCATGGCCACCACGCGGGCCCAGTGCGGAATGGAGGGTGCTAACGGCTCCAGATGCAGCCGGAACCAACGGCTTAACTCGCCTTCCGAAGCACGAAGGAGTTCGAGATAATAAGTTTTGGTCACCTATTCAATGATCGACCACTGCGAAAGTTGCTTAACTTCAACGATCGCAGTTGAACGCGCTAACCACATGCACCATCGAGCTTTTTCCCATTCTTTCTAATACTTTCAATGAACTTTACTAAAACCACAATTCTTTAATGCTAGGTACACAGTAGTTGAGGAGCTCGATGGCGCAAGTGTTTAGCGTGTTCGGTTGCGATCTTGGAAGTTGAGCAACTTTCGTAATGGTCGGACATTGGATGGGTGACCAAAAATCATGGTCATGGCCCAACCTCTCTATTTGATCCATAGGGAAGCAGTGGGTGTCCCCGCTGCTGAGGCACGGGATAATAAGATGATGATGATACTCAAAACTTCCATGTTACATATACATAGAAAACGTTAACAATTTTTAACCGATTTTCGAGAGTTTATTGGGTTGTTCCGTATTCATCCTGTTACGTCTCATCCCATTTCCTTACTCATCCTAAACTAGTATTCCTAATTCAACCTATTACGTAAAGGAGATGGAAAACGGTGGGCCCAAATGTAATAAGTTGAGATATGATCTAAAAAATTAGTCATATTTTTTTTATCTAAGAATATGAAAACTCACTTCAATTCTCGATTTATCGATTATCGGTTCAGTAATCGATTACACAGTTACGAAAATAAAACTTTTGCACTAAACAATTAACTCAAAGTAATTAAATGCAATATATTATATACTTATCTATTTATATAAAACTCAAAGGTGATTGACTGACATAGTGATCTATCAACGCACAGCCCAAACCACTGGACTGAACTGTGGGTAGGCCCCCCACAAGGTGGACCGACGATCTTGTGAAGGTCGCGGGAAGCCGATGGATGCGAGTGGCGCTGGACCGATCGGTGTGGAGATCCTTGGGGGAGGCCTATGCTCAGCAGTGGGCGTCATACGGCTGACATGATGATGATGATGATGATGGCAAAGAATTATTTTTTATCAAACAATGTTATAATACCCAATAGATATTTAGGTATTGTTTATGTAGCTGAAGATTAATAAAAATGTTCCATTTTTAGGTAAGCAGTAGTGTATACTGTATTTGCCAAGCGTGATGGGACTTGGCTCAAAGCTGACATGTCAATGACCAAAGAAGACCACCAGGCCACCGTAATGTTTGCTGTCTTACATTGCGGACCCATCACCTACTTCATACCTGCACAATTTCTAGACGACATTTTAATTATAATAGAAGACGAATAAAACACTATATTAAATGTTTTTTATTTTATTTTAGATATCTTCTCCCTATCTCCTTACCTGGTACCAACCTATCGCTTGAAGTCGATGACGTTCATTCTTATGATTTTTCAAACATGTTCTAGTAAATATAATAACTATTAGTGCAAAGAAACACATTTTGCACTTCACGAATGAGCTGTTAGTTAAAGATTGTAACATAACCTCACTTTTATTTAATCTCTTATATCTCTGTTCTCAGATTGACAAAAGCCGCAGAATTTTCAGTGAAAGGTTGATAATACATAAGCTATTAAATGACATCACTTTCACTTACACCTGGGCCCAACATTGTATGTTATCGTTTCAGTCTCCTTTGGATTTTATTTTTTATCGATAGGAAGGACAACTCATTGTCTGTAAAATATATTTTACCTGAGAGTTTATAAACGGTAAAAATATGCCCATTAGGAACACCCCAGCGAGTGGGCCCATGGAAGCTGACGAAAGGCTCATCGTCAACTGCAATACGGAACCCAACATTTCTACTACGAACACCAGGGCTGAAATAAATAAGAAAAATCGTTATTACCGTTTTTTTATCCTTGGTACGCCCCGCCTGATAAAAAGCGGCTGGTTACCGAAACCTAATCATTCAATTAGTAGCAATTTTATTGAACGTATTCCTCATCAAGCATGCCAGGTGCAGTTGTTTTTTTTAATGCTGATTTTAACGTTTGACCACAATCTCGCCTGATGGAAAGCGATGATGAATGAGGCCTAGGATGGTACACGCCTGACTAGAGGTTTTATAAAAGTCGTCAGGATTTTAATTTTTGTTAATAATGACTTAATAGCGATATTGATAGAAATATCACAAAATAGATTGTACAGAAGGTTAATCTTATGTATGTACGGTCGCGGTCAGAAAATGTTTACCACTTTAAGGATCATAATTGCATGCACACATTTAGGTCACAAGTTCTAAATGTCTTTTTCAAAATAATTTGATTGACCATAGAATATCTTTTTTGTAATGTAATTCAAAAATAAGTCTAGGACATGGACCTACTACTATCAAGGTTTGATATATATATATAGGTAGGTATATTTTTAAATACTTCGCCTCACACTGGAATTTTCTTCTGTATCGTGGGTGTAATTACAAAAAAATTCACATGCACATTGCACATACGCCCAGACCAGGACAAATTTCTGCAGGCCATACAAAATATCTGTGCCGTACGGGAAACGAACCCGCGACCCGTTGCGCAGTAGACGACCTCTGCACTAGCCGTGACGTCAAACAATTATAGAAAACTATTGAAAAAACTAATATTTTATTTTTTGAACTAAGAATATGAACAAATAATAAAATAGATGTTAGGATAATGGCAGAAAATATTAAATGCGGCTTTTCTTCTTTAAACACTTTATTTTCATTTATATTATCATTACAACTCTTTTACATAAAAACACAACGCACCATTCTTGGGTACAGCAAAAAAACCAGAAGCAAGATACCTTTTTTTTTAATAACGTAGATTACAAAAAGGCAAAGGGATTCAAATACTATAATGCCAAGTATTAAATCACATATTCTTAATACACCTCCTTGATTTAATACACGCATTAGTTACTTACAATAATAAACACTTACAATAGTTTTATATTTCAAAAGCGGATACAATATATTATGACCAATTTTATTACAATATTCCAATTAACTGTCTGAACTTTGTGAATTTAAATTTTCCTAATGATTTTGTTAAAATGTCTGCTATCTGATCTTCTGTAGAGATTTTTATTACATTAATTAAGCCACTCTTTTCAAAGTCATACACAAAATGATGACTAACATCTATATGTTTTGAGTTTTTGCAGAATTTACCATTTTTAGCTAAGGCAATAGCACCACTGTTATCTTCATAAATGCTAACACTTTGATTTACATTAACACCAATATCACTCAGTACTCCTTTTATGGGTAACACCTCCTCGACACAATCAGCTAGAGCATAATATTCAGCATGAGTAGATGCTCGTGATACAATTTTCTGTTTTTGTGATTTCCATAGTATTACATTTCCGAACACTCTTAATATGATACCAGAAGTAGACTTTCTATCAACCACATCTGATGCCCAATCTGCATCCACATATGCATCCAATATGTCACTATAGACTCCAAAGTAGTTTAGTGCTAATTTTCTTGTATGATACAAATACTTGAGCACTCTCAAAGCATATTTATAATGTGTAGCATCGCAACAGTTTTGGAATCGGCTAAGATAATTAACTGGGTAAGATACATCAGGACGAGACCCATTTGCTATGTATAATAATGAACCAATAATATTTCTATATTTCAAATTTTCATCTAGTTTTTCTGCTGGTTCAAGCTTTAAATTTAATTCCATAGGAGTTTCATATTTCTTCGAATCCATAATATTGTATTTTTCAGCTAACTTTAGTATATAATTTTCTTGACTTAAGTACATTTTCTTTTCCTTTAAGTTATATTGTATGTCTATTCCCAGGTACTGTTTAACTCTTCCCAAATCCTTCATACAGAAATTATTACTTAGCATTTCTTTTATTTTATTAATAACATTTATTTTTTCACAAAATATTAGTAAATCATCAACGTATAGTATAATATGTATTTTCTGATTATTTATGTATCCAGTGTATAGACAGTAATCATGTTTGGATCTTTTAAACTTTATTTGAATCATGAAATCATGAAAACACTCGTACCAATCGCGTGGACTTTCTCTCAAACCGTATAGAGCTTTCTGTAGCAAACAAACTTTATTTTTATGAATTTTATAACCATCTGGGGGATATATGTATATTTCTGACTTTATTTTGCCATTAAGGAAAGCTGTTTCAACATCCATCTGTTCCATTTCCCATCCATAAACACAAGCAGTAGATAATAGGACTTTCAAGGTAGTCATTCTTGCAACAGGTGAGTAAATTTCTTCCTTTTCATTAAATGCTTGCTGAAAACCCTTAGCAACAACACGCGCTTTATACTTTCCATTAGTCTTTATTTTATATATCCATTTTACCTCTATTATGTTTTTATCTGTAGGTATGTCAGTCACTATCCAAGTTTTATTCTTTTCTAAGCATTTTATTTCTTCATTCATGGCTTCAGTCCATCTTTTTGATTCTGTACTATTAACCGCTTCTTCATATGTATTTGGAACATCAACATCACAATAATTAGCATAAAGAAAGTAGTCATTGAATCTGTTAGGTTGTTTTCTAAGTCTTTCTGGTAACACTCTTCTTTCCACCTCCTTAATTTCTTTTCTTTTATCTTCTTGTTCATTAACTTCTATCATTTCTTTTTCTTCATCCTGTTTACATGTTGCTTCATCTTCATTTTCTTTATGATTAATTTCTGTAATATCTTTTTCACAATTTTCATTTTCACCCATGTCTAATTTTATACTCTGTGCATCATTATCTATGAACCTTACATGTCTACTTATTATTATTTTATTTTCCACTAACACTCTATATCCCATATCTGTATATCCTACTAACACTCCTTTAACGGCTTTAGCATTTAGCTTTGATGTTCTACACTCCTCAGGTATTCTAACAAAAGCTGTACTTCCATAAATTTTGAAATGTGAGACATCTGGTTTTATACCAAAGAATTGTTCATAAGGTGTTTTCTTAATATAGGTATTAGTTAACAGTCGATTTCCTATATAACTTGCTGCTTTTACACATTCAGGCCAATAACGCTTATCTAATTTTGCTTCTTGTAGTAAACATCTTGCTCTGTCCATAATAGTTCTGTTGTATCTCTCAGCAACACCGTTAAGCTCATGCGTATATGGTGGAGCTGGATTTAAATATATTCCTTCTTGTTTACATAACTTAAAAAAATCTTTATTTATGTATTCTTTACCATTGTCACAACGAATTTCCTTAATGTTCTTTTCAGTCTTATTTTGTACAAACCTAATATATTTAAAAAAACAATCAAACACTTCACTTTTTTTATTAATGCAGTACACCATAGCAATTTTGCTAAAATCATCAATAAAGCTTACAAAATATCTTTCACCACCATAACCTGTAGGATTTAAGGGACCATGAACATCGGTATGTATCAACTGTAAAATATCACGAGTTTGATGTCTATTATTTGCAAAAGGTAAGTTACACATTTTACTTGTTAGACATATTTCACACTGTATATAGCTATTTTCTATTTTATTTGGTAAACCTTGCAAACTCTCATATGCACACATTTGTTGTAAATTTTTAAAATTAGTATGACCTAAGATTCTGTGCCATTTTTCTTTATTAGTCATTTGAGAAACACTTGTGTATGATTTTACATTTTTATGAATTTCTTTATTTAAAAAACCTGTTAACATAAACAATTTATTTTTTAAGAAAGCTGATGCAATGAGCCTTCTATTATAATTATATATTTTAACAATGTTATTTTGAAAAACTATAGAATTATTCTCTTTCACGATACTTGAAACACTTAACAAATTTTGCTTCATAGTTGGAACAAAGTACACATTTTTAATTCTTATATTTTCTCTTTTACCTGTAACATTACACAAAATATTAATACTACCAATTTTATTTGCTTTCAGAGAAAAACCATCACCAACTTTAACATCTATAGGATTTTCTAAATTTATAAACTCGGTATAGTACCTGTCATCATTTACAATATGATCTGAGCAACCACTATCTAATAAAAATGTTACCTTTTCATTACTCCTTGATGCATAAGATGTATTTACCTCCGATGTCATTACTTCCACATTAAATGATTGGTTGTCGATTTGAGATACATTTGCCATATTCCCTGTCCTTCCTCTTCCTCTGAAATTATTTCCTCTACCTCTCCAATTTCGTCTACCTCGCCAATTACCTCTACCTCTGTAGTTCTTATTAATTGGGCAATATTTCAGGATATGACCAGGTTTCTTGCACCCGTAACATATGTAATCATTATTGTTTTGCATTCCAATAACTTGACTGTTGGGCAACTTGGAAGACTGTATATTGAAGGACTCCACTTTTGAAAAACTCTGAGCACTCTCTCTCTTTTTATATTCTAATATTAATTTTGATTTAATGTATTCCACTGATTTATCTTTATCAGGTAGTGCATCAACAATATCTATAAGATGTGAACATCCTTCAGGCAAACACAACAATAAGTAATTTAATTTATCCTCTGTAGAAACTTCTTCTCCCGATTGTTTTAATTCGTTGATGTGCTTCTCAAAAGTGTTAAAGAAATCGGTGGGGTTGGCATCATCCGCCATTTTTAACTCTAATAGTTTCCGTTTACATATTAATTTACTTGCACAACTTTTTGTTTCATATGTATCGTCAAGTTTTTTAATCATTTGTTTGGCACTAGTTTCTGAAATAATAAGTTCCAATTGGGAATCATTTATGCTATTTACAATATAATTTCGAGCCTTGATGTCCATTTTTGACCAATTTTCCGCAGACACATTTTCTTGTTTTTCGGATGTTATTACTTCCAAACAATTTTTCATTTCTAAATACAGTTTTAATCGAAACTTCCATTTTGTATAATTAGAGCCATCAAAAACTTGCAATGTAAAATCTTTTTCCGCCATTGTGTGCAAATTAACGCACTCTTCATAACAAACTAACTACGCTCTGCTACCATGTTAGGATAATGGCAGAAAATATTAAATGCGGCTTTTCTTCTTTAAACACTTTATTTTCATTTATATTATCATTACAACTCTTTTACATAAAAACACAACGCACCATTCTTGGGTACAGCAAAAAAACCAGAAGCAAGATACCTTTTTTTTTAATAACGTAGATTACAAAAAGGCAAAGGGATTCAAATACTATAATGCCAAGTATTAAATCACATATTCTTAATAATAGAAACTTCAAAAATCTTTATTTAATATCTAGTATAACCTCCCTCTGCAGCTATGACGGCACGTAGTCTATCTCGCATAGATGCAACAAGATGCGCGCATAGATCGGTTCCTCTAATATCATCCCATACTCGAGCACAGTGTGATTTAAGATCATGAGGGTTCCTCTCATTTTGACAGTCCCAGCATTGAACCATAAGCCCCCATAAATTTTCAATAGGGTTTAAATCAGCAGACCGAGCGGGCCATTGAATCGGACGAATGTGAGGGTGCTGGTTGAACCACGCCATAGTAGCACGGGCCGTGTGTATCCGTGCATTATCTTGAACATAAGTAATGTGCGGGAATTCTGTTGCAGGATACCCCATAAGTTTACTGTTATGCGACCTGACTCGTTTTGAGGCACGATATGAGCTTCATCACACTGAGTTCGATTATAGCGCCATAAAGTTAATCTTCCGATTTGGCTTGATTTAAAGGTTTTCTCATCGGTAAATATAGTATTCGACCAAGCAAAATCATAATGTTGTCGCGCAAAGTTAAGGTGGGCTGTTTTGTGGTGAGGTTTCATCCCCACTTTAATAGTATGATGTTTGTAGTGTAGTCCAGCACTGTGCAAAGCTCGTCGGATCATCCGAGCACTCACATAATATAAAGCAGCAAAATAACTACCGTGAAATCGTTCTCTTCGTAACGACGAATCATTTCTGTTATTTGCGCGGCGGTTAGTATTGGTCGTCGTACTGAATTATTTCTATGGCTGATAAGTGCCCTTCTTCGCCGTGACGCCGGATCCAAAACCTCACAGTGAATCGCGATATATTGAGTTCTCGTGATATAGCACTAATACTTGTCTATCTTCGAAGAGAAATATTATTTCAGTCCTTTGCTCCAGGGTCAAACTTGCCATTTTATTTCGTTATGAAAATATTATTTGGAGAATTTTGCTGTTGTCCAAACAATGTTCAAACAATCATTTTTTTATAAATGTCATTTCAACAAATAAAGAAATGCGTTTCAATATCAAAAGTAATATATAATTCTTTTTGTTATTCTCGATGCGTCATATTGCTTAAAAACTTTTGAAAGTAATAAGTTACATGAATTTTAGACTTTAGTGAAAAAAGTGTGACATAGAATCTAATTTCAAAACTGGTAAACATTTTCTGACCGCCAACGTACTTGAGTTTTCATACCTGCGTTCGGCGGTCGCGTTAGGATTGTCAACTTTGGCTTTTGCACAAAAAAAGGGGTAGTGGCGTATCAATTTGTTTGATTTATTCTTGAGAAAAAAACAGCAAGGATATATTTAATCAGTAATAACTAATGGATTTCAATTTTAACGTTTTTGTTATATCAGATACAAAACCATGAATTAGCGACTGTCGTGAGACTCCGGAGCGTTTCATAGTTTATGATATCTTTTAAATAAGTTAAGTTTTTTGTAGGTGACAACACCACTCCTGGACCACAGAAATTTCAAAAATTGGACCTGATATTAAATTTGGATTCAGGAAACAGAAAATATTTTTTTATTTAACCCTGGAGCTACTGGACGAGCTACCGTTCACGTAAAGGTTCTTAGGACGGAAAAAATATTGATTTGCCGGTTTGCAGGGTAAATCCCAAAATTTCTGCTCGGGCTCATCTAATACATTATTTACTTTAAAGTTTATTCATGAGATAACTAAAAATCTTACTTACCGACACAAATTACACCCAAAATAACGACTACGGCACGCATCAGTATTTGAGTTTGCTTATGAGTGAGCTTTCTGAAGAAAGGCTTCCAGAAATCTTCTAGAACCACTGCTGCCATGGAGTTAAGACCAGTTGACAGGGAGCTAGAATGGAACATTATTCAATAAACTTTTATTACATCGCCACAATTTTTTTCAGCGGAGGAAACACTTTTTTAATTAATGATTTCAAAAGTTTGAATTGTGGTTTTTCCTTTGTAAATCTTTATTGTCTTACGACATACTGATATATATAATATTTTTGTAAGATTAAAATCGATACAAAAATAACGGCCAGTCCTTTCAGTAACTTGAACTATTTTTTTAGCGTTATAGCTAAAGTAGGTACTTCAAACAGGTATACAGATATAGATAGGCATTTTTGATGTTTTAAATTATAGTTCATGTTGAAAGTTTGGGATTGGGATATTACCTATTGTATTGTTATTTTGAAGCATTAACTGATAGATTAGAACTTAAATAAAACAAGTTTTAACGGTATAGATGCACTGATTTAATTGTTTATTGACGTTTCGCATCCTTTTCAAGCTGCGTCGTCAGAATTATAATTTTATTTACTTTATCGAGCTACCTTCAGAATATTTATTGAGCGTTCAGATACTTCATTGGAATTTTTTTAAAACATTATTGTATTTTAATGAGCTAATAAATGAAAAGGATGTGATACATCAATAATCAAATAAATCAGTGTCTATACCGTTCAAACTTGTTTTATTTATTGAGTGATGTGCTCTTAATCTGATGCCTGGCCTAAGTGAATTATTTTCTAGTAACATTTTAATTCACCTTTTTAATACCTTCAGAAAAGACTTAATCAAATAACAAAAAAAAATACCAAGGAAATTAATTTTACTTACACACTACTTAAACAAAATTTGATTACTTACTTAGAGACTCATCTTCAAGTAAGCAATCAAATGTTCTTAATACCTCAGAGCAGCGCTGAATACACCAGTGACAAATATTCCCGGCATTCCTTTCCATTCTGACAGAATGTCCATAACCAGCAGGGGAAGTAGCTGGTCTTTGGCCAGAGTCAGCTTGGAGTCCAAGGGGTCGCATTCGTAGTACGTGGCGAATGCCAAAAGACCGCAGTATGCACATATAAATACGATGAAAGTCACTCCACCTAGAAATCCCCATACTGCTCTGGAATTATGATGAAAAAGTATTAATTAAGAGCTTATTTCTCTTAAAAAAATATATAACGATATTGGACATCAGGTTCTTAAATGAAGGTGACTCTGATGTGAAGTTTTATAATACTAAATGTAAGTTGGAGTGAATGGCAGAATTTGTAGCAAGTCACAAATTGACAAAAAAAAGAGAAGAACATTAAGCTTGAGTGACAGCATCGGACCTGAATATTAATCAAGAACTTCTGATATTATGGCGTCACGATAGAAACCAGCGTGCTTCCCACGAAGCAAGTCAAATATTTACTATTATGAAGAACTTATTAGAAAGATTAACCTTACTGTAAGGTATGCTGCAATATACGATTTATTTACGAGTAGAAAGGGTATCTTACCTTTTTGATGATTTCAGATCGGTTAAAGATAAAAATCTCTGCATCATCGATTGGTTTACTGCTATATTTCCTATCCAATAGAATGAAGAGCCTAGAGAGACCGATAAAATTGAATGCCGCTCGGTGAAATCCAAAGTCAACCTAGAGAATAAACATACTTATTTAGTAGGTAATTATAAAACCCTAAAAAGACATAGACAAGGCGTTGTAAGTACCACAAAAAATCAAGTAGTCTCTATCTCTTTTGGTTTTTTAACCGATTTAAAAAAAAGACATAAATTTGATGACTATGATTGGTCAAATTTTTGGAATTATATAATATTGGTATATTGTGGGAGTCTATGTAGGGTTCTAAGCACGTATATGAAATTTCCCAAATGATTCCTGCACTCCTAAGACGAAGTCTGAACGTCAGTAGAATAAAATAGATTAAACAGCCAGATTAGTTTCCCGCTAGACATAAACTATACAATTAAATAAATAAATATTTCCAACACACACCAATTAGCCTAGCCCCAAAGTAAGCAATGTAAGGATTGTGTTATGCGATGCTAGGGTAACGGATAGAATACATATACTGTACTTATATAAGTATATTTATATAGAAAATACATATTAAACATCCATGATTGGAGTACACATGCTCGTATTCATAACACAAACATCTGTCCCCACCGGGATTCGAACCTGGGACCTCTCGAGTCGGCGACACCGTGAAACCCGGCGTACAAACCAATCGGGCACGGAGATCGTCGAATTAAGGCAAATTTAAGATCTGATAACATGATTATCTACTACTGACTCTTATTGCTTACTCACGAAGGAAATTCAATTCTGCCTGTATCCCAATTTCTCCTCATAACTTCTTTGAAGCCGCCAACATTAATTGTGCCTTTGATGATGACCAAGATTATTGCACCTATCATTATTAAAGTTTGTATGACGTCGGTCCACACAACAGCTTTTAGACCACCCTAAAATAATATAGTGATTACTTTAAATAAACAATTTAAAATCCTTATTAGTAACTATTATGTTATTTCACCCCAATTTTAAATTTTCAATGTTGGATTTCGAATTAAAATACAAAACGATGCATCAACTGTTTAATCAACATACAGCTTGGGTCGATATCCTGGCTCATACATTCGAATATAAATTTATAGTCCAACGGAATGGGTTTATTGAGTGTTTTTATAATAGAAGATTAGAGTAAAACTCCGAAACGTCAATTAAATTTAATGCTTGTTAAAGCGAAGCGCTGTATTATTAATTTAAATCAAACTTAAAAGTTAATCGACCATTCTGATTCTAGCAACAAAATAGGCTATAAGATTAATATTAAGGATGTTAATGGCCAAATAATTACCGTTATAGTTAATCAAATCAAATTCGCTTACCAAAGTAGTGTAAAATATGCACACGAAACAAACTATAGGAGTGACAATGTGAATATTCACTCCAGTCACTGAAAATTAAAAAAAAACCTTTATAGGTATTATTTTTGTCATTTGTTACTACTGACTATAAATTTCGTTTCGGTTCCATTTCTTCCTGATATTTAATTTGTTAATGATGAGAACAAAAAAATAATAATTGAATATTAGCAAATTTTTACATTGTAATAAGGTTTTATGTTAATAATTTCGTTAATGTTAATACCTTGATTAAAAGCTAAGGCTGGTACATATATCACTATAGGCAGCCAGGCGATCTACAATAAAATAAAATAATGAATTAACAGTTTTCATCTTTCACAAAATAAGAAACTGCGGATTAGTGGATTATCCTTGATAATATAACGCGCAGTTTCCGATTTCGTTCATAAAACGTCTACGTTACGAATAATATTTTGTAATTCATGAAGACGTGTGAATTTGATAAAAATCAAACATATTTGATGATATGCGCATCTTTGACTACACTATCTTTTTATAAAGATGTGCAGTAAAAAGCGCTGAAGTTTTAGTAGTGGCTAATGCTCAAAGCAGCAACGTCGTACAAGCTTGCCCAAGGCGAGGCGATTACGTAACGATTCCTATAAGTGTGCGTTGCAGTAGGCAGTTTTATACAAAGGATACTGATCGGCTCCAGTTGATACTGTAACGATAAGATCCCATTTTTGTTGATATGTTTGTTGCTACGACCTTCCTGCCACATCAGCTACTTCACTTCGCAACTAATTTTACTAACATTTAACACTAGCTGTTGTAATTTGCTACTCCTTGTATAAAAAAAGTCTAAAATTTTTCAGGAGTTCATTAAGTGCAAAGAGATTGATAGAAACTTAGATGTTAATGATGACTTACCAGATAAACACTGAAAATCAAAGAGCCAAAAACTCTTACTCTTTTATCATACCGCAGTTCAAGGTACTGAAACAATAAAGACCTCTTGAATTATAAGTTTGCCAACAGGAAATAATTCTATTAAGCAGGATTATTAACGTTTGAAAGTTTATTGGTTTTGTCAATTAACTAACAAGAAATGATTTTTATTTTATTATGTTTATAAAACTAACAGATGCCTGTTTACAGTAATACTTAGTCTGAATTACATTAATATCCTGAAAATTCAGTCCACAACAGACACTTACAGGTTAGCTCCGGATGCATTAGAGCGACAACAATTGATTTTACGATAAAACTCAATTAATACAGAGACCACATAATTATAATATAATATAATATAATAATTATGGTGTAAATATTTCTGTTTGTTTGAGTCACAGATCTCTGAATATATGAGTTCTCAGATATGTGAATATATTAGATATGATGCTGGCGTATAATGAGGTTAACAGATAATTTCATGTTATACAAAAATCTTGACTTAATAAAGAAGCTATTCTGATGAAATTTGTAATTATTCAAACCATTTACTGATGTGAAAGAGAAACAAAATATAAGTTACCTCATATGCTGATGTCAGTCGTAATTCGTGTAGAACCGGCAAAAACGAATGGAATAGCACAAATGACATCAAAAGAGCTCCAATCAGGAAGAACATGTACGATGTGCCGTAAACGTATAGTTCTGTCGGAGTGCCCAGAAGAGATATACCTGAAATAAAACTGACGAAGTTTGTCTTAGATTACACTGTGGTAATAACTACAAGCTATTTTAAATATTTAACGGATAGATTAGTACAAAGTAATGTTATTTCGACTGCACGTTCACAAGCTGGTCACGTAATTTTAGACTCCTTCAATCCTAGACATTTTCGGTCACGAGAAAATATATAAAAAAATCTTTACTATCTCATGAATTTTAGAAATATTATCAACTACTTTTTTATTACAATGGTGAAATCACTCCCAATATGTTAAATACACATGCAAATAATTGGTCCCTTATGTTTCATACTGTCAAGAAGCCTCTTATATTCATCATCATCATCATCACCAGCCTATTCATTTCCCCACTGCTGGGGCACAGACCTTCCTTATGGATGGAATAGGGAGATTGGGCCATGACCCACCACGAGGGCCCAGTGCGGATTGGTAGGTGCTAACGACTGCAGATGCAGCCGGGACCAACGGCTTAACGTGCCTTACGAAGCACGGAGGAGCTCGAGATAGTAAATTTTGGTTAACCATCCAATGACCACTGCGAAAGCTACTTTACTTCAACGAACGCAACCGAACGCGCTAACCACTTGCGCCATCGAGCTCCTCATATTATCATATTATATTATATACACCAATTATATTATATATACCCTATTATATTATTTACCCTTTCATGTCACGCGTTGAGTTCTCTAACACATTTAGTCAGGAATATAATGATGTATGAAGTATGAATGTATAACTTACCTTGCGACTAATGAAAAACATACGGGCACTAATTTCATATTTCTCCCGCCCATCAAGTAGTCTTGTGTGGATTTTTGTTTCTTCACAAAACCAAAGAACACGCCGATGCCTCCACACACGACGAGCATCACCACAAATACACCGTAATCATAATAAGTAAACTGTTGTTTCGAAATCCTGAACTCGGACACGTCTAATATAGAGTCGGCAGTCATTTTTCTTACTATTTAAAGCCTAAAAAGAGTTTCAAAATATATAAGAGGTAGGTACACGGTTATTGTTATGTTATTATTTAACACTAGCGGCCGCCTGCGACTTGGTTTAACTTTGGGTTTTTCTAGAACCCTACAGGAACCTAAAAATTTTCCAGGAGAAATTTTTCCTGTCTCAATTCTGGTCATAAATCATATACATACTAAATTTCATACAAATCCGTTCCTTAGTTTTTGCGTGATTGAGTATCAAACATACAAACTTTCACATTTATAATCTTAAATAGAAAAGGATTCTTCTTCTTTTACTTAGGTAAGAGTTAGCGCGCGGAGCAACAATATTAAATAAATTAAAAAACACTTACAAAGGTATGGATTGAGGCGTCTGTAATAATATAAGGTAATGATAATAAAAAAAAAGGAAAGGACCTTGTTTGTAAACGTGTTTGTTCTGTGATTCAAATGGTTTTAATTTGGACAACTTTTGCAAACGTTTGACATTTCATGAGATACTCCAAAAGGATTGATAAGCATAGCATTCAGGTATAGTCCTTCACACTCATGTATTAATTTATTTAATACGACGACAACTAATAAAATAGTTATCTGTTTTGACCAGTAGTAGATCCAAAATAAAACGATTAAGCGTAGGTGGACAATTGTCACAATGTTTGGAGTCACTCAATTTGGCGATAGGACAAAACACCTAAAATAATTATGCAAAAATTTAACATGATAATATGCCAGAACAATCTGCAAGAACTGCCAGTGCACTTTAATTATACAATGGAAGTTTGTTTCCATATAAACTTTATACATAATGAACTTACTTGTACTTCAACAGATGCCTTTATAACTATGAAGGGATACAATTTTGTGCCACTTTAACTTTACTCGTAATGGGTGACACCTTATCCAGGCTAATTCTGGTTACTAACTGGAAGACTTCAAGATCAAAAAGTTAACGCGTCCCCTCTAAATTAGCGTCCAATGGTCATCTTAATGTAAGGACCGTTGTTTTCTTGTGGCAATCATTCAATTTGCCCACCTCAATCTTCCAACGCGATCGAGGCTATTTCAGTTGAATCAACTAGTTCCTCTCTTCTTATCTTAAAATAGATCTATCCGTGCTGATCGAACATTATTACCTACCTGTTCAATTCCTTGGGGCATTAAAACTGTTTTATGTTTAACTATTATGTTGTACCTTTGTTGTCAATCATCTTATTTTGTGCTTTATTTAGCCCCTTTTCTCCCATGCTGGGACTTCAAGTGAAAGAAACATTGAATTCGCCAAATGTTACTTTTCCGTACACACACTATTGATACATCTTATGTACGCACAGTAAAAATCTATCCACCACAGTGAAATAGTACTGCTTTTTCACCACCCAAGACCTTTCAGGTTAGAGAGGTCCAGATGGAGAGGAGTTCCCCCCGAGGGGAGATGTCATCCGCATGGAATACCTCTAGAGGCACTCGTCAATTCATGGCTTGAGGTCCCTTTAGGATCTGGCCGCCCCCAAAACCCGGTGACGCTGTAAAGATCATCTGCTACAGCTTTAACTTTAAAAAAAACACGCAAGTGATAGGTAGATTTTCAGATCTCTAAGAAATCTGACGACCTCCGTGGCCGATTGGTTTGTACGCCGGGTTTCATGGCTGTCGCCGACTCGAGAGGTCCCGTGTTCAAAGTCCGGTGGGGGCAGATGTTTGTGTGATGAATACGAGCATTTGTTCTCCAGTAATCGATGTTTAATATGTATTTCTATATTAATATACTTGTATATGTACTGTATATGTATTCTATCCATTACCCTAGCATCCCATAACACAAGCCTTACAGTGCTTACTTTGGGGCTAGGCTAATTGGTGTGTGTTGAAAAAACAAAAAATGCACGGTACTGCGACCAGATGTTACTTGTACCTCATTTTTTTCAAATGCACTTATAGCCCAGTTCAATTATATTATAACTCCAGTAAGAGACAGGCCTATTAAAACTTTGTTTGAAGTTTGAACTTTGTTACCTTGATATTTTTATTACCCACTAAGATAATAATTACAACTGTCGCCAAGAAACGGAACTACATTATCGTTACCTTTTACTAGAGGTTGATAAATGAAACTGGCCGTAAGAGAATTGAGAAGTGTTTTATGATGTCGTTTTTTGTTTTACATAACAAACACTTTTTACATGATTTATGCCAGAGCAACATCGGCTAACTATGAATAGTAACTTGGCAAGCATTTTCTTGTTCAGATGTAGCTACGTTCTATATCTATATATTTTTATATATAAAAACAAATCCCTATTCCCCTTGGTCACGCCATAAATTGAGAACGCCTTTACAGATTACATTCCCAATAAGTTGTAGAAGGTTCTTACAGTAGAAATAATATTAAAGTTGAAAAACAACTACTTATCTTACAACTCTATCTGATAGGTAGCGCTGCGCTATAACACAATGTTTGTAAGGGAAAACAAAACGGCGATCTGTTCATTAGTCATATGCGGCGTGGCATGCCAGTCACAGCAAAACAGTCACGCATGTGATCAATGAAAGGATTGACGTTTTGTTTGCGCTAATTTTAAAGATGATAGAATTCTCCCACCTGGGTATGTCTGCTGGTTTTCCGCTCCTGTTTCTGTTTGCACTGCCATTGTTTACATCTGTGCTAGTTCATCACAATTGAAATATTGGTCTAAGAGGTGCAAAAGTTCCACATGTATGCACTGTTAATATTTGGACAGAAGTGTTAGGAATGTTTTTCAAATACTATTTGGATTTCGATATCGATTTACAGATATCGATTTTGTGACCAGAGTAGCTCCAAAAACTAAGGATGATAATAATAAACAAATAAAGCCAATTGTAGTTAAATTCCTGGCACGCTATAAGAAGGATGACTTTTTGTCCCATTTAAGAAAACTTAAATTGAAGGCCTGTGATATTGGATTTACGGGTAACAATACCAATATTTATTTCAATGATCACCTCACAGGCCAAAGAAATGAATTATAAGTACGTATGGGTGAGGAACTGCCCCATTATCGCTAGATCGGCTACTAGTCCAATTATACATGTTTCTTGTGTCAGAGATTTAAACAAGATAAAATAAGTATTGCCTCGCTGTTTGTGTTGTTTATTAATTTGTCCACTAAATTATTATTTATCAAATTATTTTTAAACTGTATTTTGTTTACTATCGCGGATGATCTTGCTCTTCTATATTGTACTTTGACTGTATTCATATTGACTTATTTTTAGGGAACACTGAATCTTATTGTATATTTGTCGATTGGCGGGGGTATCTGGTCTCTCGAGTTGCGCATAGGTTTTCTGTTTTATATCAGCGTTAATTCAATGATGTTAATTTTAATTTCCTCTATTTTAAATGGCTTATATCAATAATCTCATGATCTATTATCAGAACGTACGCGGTCTTCGTACCAAGACGAACACTTTTATTCGAAACTTTATGACTAACAATTATGACATAATATGCTTAACAGAAACTTGGCTCTTGCCTGGAATTTTTGATGCTGAGCTTTTTGATGTTAGGTATAGTGTATATAGGTGTGATCGTGACTATACATCTCGAGGGGATCGTGCTGGGGGTGGGATTCAGGGTTACAGAAGGTTCATAAATCATTTATGGGTCAAGGTATACATTTCTATAATAAGATTCCTATTGATATCCTTGATTTGCCTCCTCATAAATTTAAAATACACATTAAGAATTGTTTACTTAAGAAAGGATATTATACTGTCAATCAATATTTGAATGATAAAACGGCCTGGTTGTAATTTTACTTGTAGATAATTTTTCAAAAGTTATATTAAAACTAAGGCTCCCAGCTATAGAAAGAGTTTTGAAGAGAACCTTGCACTTACTCCCTTTCATATACTTGTTCATTTTATTTTGAAAATTGTTTCTTACTATTTTGGGACTTATCTTTGCACTTATTGTTAGTAAATTCATTGATTGTTACATATTTGACATTATGTGATGGAAGTTGACCTCAACACATGTTTGCAAGTTTGATGTCAACTTTCAATTGGACGACACTGTATGAAATAAAACAGGGAGAAAAAAGCAGCCCTTGCTGAGTTTCTTGCCGGTTCTTCTCAGTACAAGGTCTCCCGCCGTAGTTTTGCGAACCGATGGCGTAGCTTTTCGACATTCACAAGTGCTTGTAACAGCCTAGACTGAATAAACGATATTGAATTTTGAATTTTTTGAATTTTTACTGGTTGCGGTGCACCAACGGATTTCTGTTACTGGATTTTCCACTATTTCAGTGACAAACTGGGTGGCGGACGCTTTGTATGTTTCAATTTTTATTAACAGGGATGCGTTACTTCATGTTTATTGCGGTTACTTTCCCCATTGCCATTTACAGCTTGAGGCGATGGATACTTTTTTTGAAGCAATCACATTGAAAATAGAACTTCTAAAGCTTATCGAATGCTAGGTTTTGTTCTAAGGGTTAGCAAAGACTTTAAAAGATGTTCCACTTTAATTCTATTATTTAACTCCTTAGTTAGATCTATTTTGGAATACGCATCGATTATTTGGAATCCTCAATATAAATATTTTTATTGACATGATAGAGAGAATACATAAAAAGTTTGTTAAATACATTTCATTTAGGTGTTCGCATTGTAAAGTAAACAATGAAACGATTCTCAAAGATAGTTTGTTGTCCTGTTTAGTGTTCCTTTTGTTAAGACAAAACACATTTTTGTACCAAGCCTGTGATTCGTATAATAATAGATTTAATTTCATTGATATTTTTAAAAAGGGAACAAATGAATACAAAAAACTTTTAAATGATGTAATTGAATGAATGAACTGTTATTATTAAAGTTATTTATTTGTCAATTTGATTTGTGTAAACTTCTCTGATGCTTTGTTTTTGTTTGTTTTTTATTTCAATTCAATTAATGTCGTATTTAATTTAACTTTATATGATTTTTTATTAAATTCACAGCTGCTCATAACTGTACTAATTGTTAGTGGAAACTTTGTTGATGTATGTCAATCTATATTTAATTTATCTAAATGTAATAAAATATTGTTTGTTTCCCAAATAAAAATAAAATAAAAATTAATTTATTACTTATGGCCGTACCCAAATACGTCAATCATTATTTTTAAGTTCGATATTTTTTTATGTTCACGTGGTTATATTTTCGGCGACGGCTTTATATTAAGAAAACACATCGCTTATCCAAGCATTCCATTAACTTGAAAATTCTGAGAACAATCGATATTGAAGTAGCGTCATAAAATGAGAGTTGGTCCTACTCATAAAACGGGTCAATAAAAATAAATAATAAGTCAAATCGAGGTAAGTATAAAGTATTTTATTACTATTCAAAATTACGGAACTTCATATTTAGAAGGGCCAGGTGTCGCCTGTACGCATAGCGTAAAGTCCGCTTCTGTAAATAAAAACATAATTCTTAAATATTTTATCTACTAAAACACTATTATAATCATAATTATCACTTTATTTGCATATAACATAGTATAGAATTCTAATAAGATGTTCAAACAAATTATATAGGTACACATGTTTTGCCTTTACATTATAGCATGCAAACGTTTAAGCGAAAGGAAAAGTAAATGTCAATTTTTCAAATGTCAAATTGAAAATTTCTAATTCAGGAAAAGTAAATGTCTAATTGTCTAACATCATAAAAGTTATTTTGTAATAGCCACATATACAACATTTTCTTAAATATATTGTATAGGTAATTTTATAATTATTTAAGGTCTTAATGTCATTTGGATTTTTATATTAATAGACCATTAATAGGCTGGTGATGATGCATTCTTTATATGCTGCTCTAATTCTTGATTATGAAGTTAATATTAAATTGTAAATAATTTTGGGTCACTTACGCTCTTTTGTTTAAATCAGTACCCCCCAAACTCAGAGGTGTTCCAGAGCATCTGCCGGCTGTAGCTTCGGTAAGGTCTTCGCACTTTTGTCCAACCAAATGCCCTGTGCTGATACTCGCAGCAAAGAACTCGTAAGCTCGATCGTGGTGGCAGTTAGGATCGGCGCCACAACCAGGTTGCAACGCACCACCATTGGGATAGAAGTCTACATCACCAACAGGAATTAGGATACCCATAACCCCAGCATTGGTATGAATAGCCTCGACATATTGACCGTTGCTACTAGCCAACCTGTTGGAATTCAAACGCCATAGGGGACCAGCTGGATCGAAACCTGCAATCGAATACCCATAATATACGAGTATAATTATACTCGTAAAAAGACAATTACTTATTTTTATCAAGTTTAACATAAAAGCATCGTATTTCTATATGTGATATTAATGTGTAAAGAACGTCATATCAAACTGGAAAAAATAAAGTCTGAAATCAGAAGTGACATAATTACCTGTGAGTCTGGCAGCCCGACCTCCAGCTGCACGTCCGGCATTGCCTATAGCATGTGCACCCAAACTGAACCCAATCAGGTGCACTTTATTCCAGCTCCCATCCGTGGTAGTCAAGAGCCAGTCCACGAATAAACCAATTGATTCACCCACACTTGGCACAGCGTTCACCGATACCACGTATGAACCAGTAGAGATAGCTCGCCAATCAACAACAATGATATTGTAATCTTCAACTTCAAGCAAGGCTTTCTTTGTTACTCTATTGAATACGGAATTTCCTCCGGTTGTAGACCAACCATGAACTTGAACTATAGTAGGCTTATCAGCTTGGAAGTTTGAATTGATTATACTGCTTTCGTTACCATGAATGAGTAATTGATATTCCTCAGGATTTCGTCTGAAACGTGATATTTTTCTTATTAAATATGCATCACTACCTTATAAGTACAATAAATTTAATATTATTTACTGAGCCTAGCCTACCTAGTATAAAGCCAGTATAGGTTGCTAGCTCCGGCTGTTTTTGATTCTCTACGATTATTTATATCTTCCCAAAGATCTACTAAGACGAGTTCACCATCATCCCTCGGCATCCATATGAAACGGCTCTCACCATCTACGTAATGACTATAGTCATATGGAATCCTTGAAATAGTGCTTCCATAGCATACTGAAATTTTATTAATACACTTCCGAATGCTGATAAGATGCTGTCAGAATGAGTTTTACTTGAGTTCGCGCAGAAATACAATACACAGATACAGTTGTAAAGATATTCTATATTCTTATCTTTTACCTTCATATATAAAAGTAAGTTTATTAAAGTTGTTTTCATCCAAGTAATAATATTATTCTTGGCCACTATTTCACCAAATATAACTTTAAATGAAATACATACGTGATATGCAGGCGACGAAAACCACTAGGTGTTTCATGTTGGAGCTATCACAGTGATTTTATGATTATTGATCAAATATTTATATTTGATAACGTTTTCATAGCGATTTCGCACAAATCAGTTTCAATTGATTCTGTTATCTTTAAATAAAAAACCCGGCCAAGTGCCAATCGAACACGCGCAGGAGGGTTTCTTTACCAATATATATACAACATTAGATACTATATTATAATATCGAACAAAAACGGCAAAAAATCACGTCTGAAGTATGGGAGCCCCCCCTTGAATATTTATTTTATTTTAATTATTTATGTATAAATAAATATATTGATCCTGTAATTTAAGCTATCTAAAATTACTGAATTCTGCAATAGTTCGCTTCCGAACTAGATAGCGTAACAAACCGCGAGTGGAGAAATAATTTGTTGGTTTTCGTCAAAACTGTTAAGTAAAGTTGTTTAAATACAGCATTGGAACATCATTTACCTTAACTTCACATTCTTAACTAGTTTTAAAATGGTCTTAAAAATGACAACTTTGAAGGTTCCACATTTTTTTGTTATTGAAAGTAAAATAATATAACAATTATATTTATATTCTGCTGAACAAGTTCTAGGCAATGATGTGGCACGTGCGTAATAAAGAAAAAAAAACGTCTTCTTTTTATGTATAAAAAATATTTTTATTGAATTTATAACTTATAATTTGGTATTATGGTACAAAAACTACCAAAATTTCAATTCTGGAACTCATTCCGTTTAGGATCTAGAGACCCTTGACATAAGGACAGATAGCCAGAAACACAGACAGACGACACAGTGACATCAATAGGGTTCCGTTTTTACCCTTTGGTTACGGAACTCTAAAAACGGATTGAAATTTGTAGTAAACCAATAAACTTGCTTAAATTCGTTTTGATTAAAATTATCTCCGATTATTATGATAAAGCAGCATAATCAGTAAGTAATAGAAGGATCTTAACATTCTTAAGCTCATTGCGATTGTCACCATGACACTCGAATTATGTTCTTTGTTTGCAAAGATTTCAATCTTATTATTCATGACATAAGTATAACTTTTGCAAACAAACAATCTCAACTTTAATCAGAAAACTATTCGTATTAAAATGTTTTGGAAGTTGAAAGGTACCTTCTAATTATTTCACGTTTTAGATTTCTTTCACTCTTTAAATCGATATTCAAGATTTAAAGAGATATTCAAGATTTAAGAAGAAGAGAAATTAGATATTCAAGAATACATAATATTTTTCAGCAGTGGGTCCCGACTGTTAAAGTAGCTTTGTTCCTTATTAACAGAATTATAGACTACTGGACTTGTTTTTTTCTTTTCAGTTTTTATTTGAAGTATAATTAAGCAGCCGGGTTTTTTTGATTTTTTAAATTTACCTTTTTTATTTCACACTTTTTAGTTAGTTAGTATTTTAAGACGGTATATACCGTAATCTTGTTACTTCAGTAAGGGAATTAATATCGCGGGAATTATTAAGTACCTTGCGTCGGTCTTAAAGATTGATTTATTAAGACATATAAAGACTACCAGCGGGGTCAAGGCTACAGATGGGCCTCAATTTTCGCAAAAATGTGTGAAGTTAAATCAAGTCGTTACATAAATATCTCTAATGTATGTAAATTTTATAGTAAATCAGCACTTACTCAAAAAGTCATCTTTTGTTTATGTTTTTTTTAATAGTTTAGCAGTAAATGTAAAATTCATTTACTTTTATTCGTCGACTATATAAAATTGGCAGTGGCTGCATTCTCATGTCAATGCCGGACGTCTAAGATTGTGATATACACAAATTCAGTGTCAGTCCCTAGTCTCATAATTTGATATACCTACATAATTCACAGAAACCTAATATGTAGATGCCAGAAGTTAACTTCAAATGTTTTTAATCACCCTATATACAATACCAATCAATGACGTTTATGTCGCAGGTTGAAGAAAGCAGTAATTCCCGTCTGTTGTTTTGGACAATGGTGGCAACTGCCTTAGATCACTAAATTAAATAATTATGCAATCACCAAAGCAAAGTTTATAATATTTGATTAAACTAAAAGCGCATAATTAAATTTTCATAACGTTAGGTAGAGCACCATAGCAATCTCATTTATTATCAATTTATAGTTCTCTTTGTAGTTTTCTTTTAAAGCGTTCACATTTAACAGGTCAAAGACTGTGTTCGACCCTTTTTTATTGGTAGTGTAAAGCTCGAATGAAGAGTTTTCCCAGTAGGGCAATTATTTTCCAATTTTTTTTTGTTTAAAAAAATACCGAATAACGTATCACTGTTAAGCACAAATACTTACTTTATTTTTAAATATTTTTCATCAATTAAATACTTATCTTATCCTAACTATCTATACTAATACACACATCAAAAGTGTCTAGGGATCAAGCATTTTTATGCGGATTTCTTGAGATTGAGATGTGGCTTTGTAATAAATTTATGATTTTATAAATTTATATGGATCCTTTTTGGTGCATTTCATAATTTGAATCAGGAACTGTGAATCAAATTCGAGTAAAATCAGCTGTCAATATTTTCCCTATAAAAACATACAACGCATTGAAGACATTATTAGTGCTACTGTTTCCCTACTACTGATTAAAACCAACGTTATTATGGAGCGGCGACGTCATTTAAGCAGGGAAGAAATGCTCAGAGCCGTGGGAATGATAGAAGCTGGTTTCCGGCAACGTACTGTGGCTTTAGCTCTGAATACAAGTCAGAGTGTTATCAGTCGACTTTGGACACGATACCGAAGCACTGGTACCGTGGCTGAGCGCCATGGAGGACGGTATCGCTGCACCACACGGAGACAAGACCGATACATTCAAATCTTAACTCGAAGAGCTCCAACAATAACCGCCATGATGTTAGCCGTGAGGCTTCATCACTCTTCAGGGAACTTAATTAGCGACCAAACAGTCAGAAACCGCTTGCATGAAGTGAACCTTCATTCCCGAAGACCGCTACGGGTACCACCTATAGCAATGCACAATCGTAGGATTCGATATCAATGGGCTCTTGAACACAGAAATTGGGCAGAAGAACAATGGCGTTTCGTGTGCTTTTCTGATGAGTCTCGTTTTGGTATGAGACCGGATACAAGACGTATACGACACTGGAGAACCCCTGGACGCCAACAGCGATTAAAATCCTGCCAGGAAGTCCATCCTTATAGTGGTGGAACCATCATGGTATGGGCGGGTATTTGGATCGGCGGAAGAACTGAGTTGATTTGGATCAGAGGCAACCTCAACGCTCAAATTTATGCTGAGACGATTGTATCAGACGTCATCGTTCCTCTACAAGTGCAAATCGGTCCCTTATTTCAGTTAATGCATGATAATGCACGACCGCACACCGCAAGAGTTGTAAGACAGACTCTCGCCGCAGCTAACATCAATGTCCTGCCCTGGCCTGCTCAGTCGCCAGACTTGAACCCGATTGAGCATGCATGGGATATGCTACAGAGAAAAGCTCTGCCGAATATGGAGGGTATCCAGTCGCAAGAAGACCTTTTTTTGTTGTTGCAACGAACATGGGCGGCCATTCCACAGCGTGATTTGGATGAACTCATTTTGAGTATGCCAAACCGATGTTCTTGTGTTGTTAGTGTTCGCGGTAGAAATACGGATTATTAATTGTTTAAGTTACCCAATAAAATTTTAGAGAAAACTGTTATTTCAGTCTTTTTTTCGAACTTTTGTGTTAGTGGTTCAAATGTCAAAAATCCCTTTATTAGGAAAATGGCAAATTTCTTTATTAATGCAAAGGTGACTTGGTTTATCGTTACTGTGACAAACGAAAACACTTTATTTGATGAATCCTTAAAGAAAATTTTAATTAATATCAATCAGGAGAAAAGTTATTGCAAAAATATATGTTGATCCCTAGACACTTTTGATGTGTGTATTATAAAGAGGCAAGATTTGTATGTTTGTAACAAATAATCTGTCAAACTATTGAACCGGTTTCAAATATTAATTCATCATAAGGTAACATTATTTAATATAACATTTTTCTTTATTTAAATACATTTTGTCGGAGTGACATAGGCTATATTTTATCCCGATAAATAAATTTCGCCCGTACAATACCCGGGTGGATCATTAGTAAGTATAATATAATATTATAGATGCGAAAGTGAGTTTGTTTGTTGCGCTTCCGTGCCCTAATAGCTAAATCGAATATAATGAATTCCCATATAGAAGTAGATGGGAACTTGGTTCTTAGCTACAACATCGCAATACTTATAGGCGTAGGGTGATGAAAGGGGTGATTTACCTGTAAAAATCTACATTATTTACTTTGAATTTTGCAGAATTATTACAAAACCAATATTATCGCGAGCTGATTAATAAATACAGGGATTCCAATAAGTATGTACTTACTAGCGAAAAATGGGTTATTTGTCATTATATTCAGTAAACCTTTTTTGTAACATTAAGTAATATCGTTAAATAAAATGAAAAACAGTAAAATTCTGAGTTTTTCATTTAAATTCAATAATCATAAATACCTATTATGATAATAGTAGTACTTCGTATAGGAGCAGATACTGCGAATACCCCATTTTTTTTTCTCTTACATAGTACACCGCGCTATCACTTTGTCATCGTTGTAACTTTTTAAATATTTGTCGAAATGACATAGTATAAAAAGCAAAGTTTATCGCCTTTAAATACAATATCAAAAGCGATAAAAGTATTTGTTTGGATAAAAAATGATTTGTTAATCAAAATGTGCATTTTGGAAATAGATATCAAATAATGTTTTAGTTTTGATTCACTATTTTAGCGGTAATGACTCACACATTAAAAATAGATATATGGTGTCACGGACTTTTTTTTAGAACTATTTAAGAGATACATTTTCACTCTACAATACATTTATATAACTTTTATTGTTTTTGCAGTGCAGGCCAAAATGGCTCGCAGATGGGAGATGTTTTTCCGTCTTATGTGACACTTATTGTTATATATTGGCCAATTCACTCGATAACTACATAAATTATTATATATATGTAATTATCATATATGAGCTATATTACTGTTAAGTTTCATTAAAATCCATTCAGTATTTTTTAGGTGAAAGAGTAACAAAGATCCTTAAAAACGTAAGATTGAAATTAAAAGCGTAAGTGGTTAATATACAACTTTAAAGCGTTGTAGATCCTAAACAATCACATAAAATGAAAAATGGTGTTAGGAACCTAAATATGATTTTTGATTATCTAGACAGTGATACCCCACTCGAGATATTTTGTCAACTTATTTTTTTTACTTCGTCACAATATGGCGCCTAATTTTGCCCATATTGAATTTTGATTACTATCATATCTTTAGTAGCACTCCCATGATTGAGACGAATCGATTGATGAATGAATCATCAAAATCGGTCCAGGCGTTTGGTCTCTAGTGTGCCACAAAGGAACAAACATACATATATAGACTGTTAAACACTTTCTGTCCTGTCTGCGTGTCGCGCTTCGCGCTCTTGCATTGCGCAGCCGGGTAAAAAAATAGTGTTAGCAACACTGTGCCCTATTGTAAAATACATTATAAACCTTGACTGGCAGACTCTTTTCTTAGATAAAATAGAATTTTCCTTATTCATGTGGAAAATATGAAATAGCAGCTAAAATTGATTGGATTCGCGCGAATTTATATCGGAACCGCGCGGAACAACATCGGATCCGCGCGTGAAAATTTTATAGAATAGTATTGAAGTTATATTAATTCCGAAGGTAGGGTATGATTTTTTTAATTCCATACCTATACACATATACCTTTCTACATTTTTTAAATGCATAGGTATCTTCTTACCTTGTGGGATAACAAAAACAAAGGGCGAATTAAGACTAAAATGCTATGTCAAATCTATTCAGATGCAAACAAAGTGATTGGTCGACAAACGATATTTACTTTGTCTAATCACAAATTAACAAACTATTTTTTTCATTATTTTAATATTAAAGGATTTTTATGTGTATGGATAAGATTATTAACTAATTGATATTACTTACTTGATAAAGGTAGTATTATGGTAATGAGACTTCATTTTGGAAACATTCGACCTGTAAAAATGATTATGTTTGGAAGTATTACAGTTGTTTGTCTCATAGGATTTTCAGTCGGTAAGTTTTTTTTATTTAATAATACTATACTATAATTAATATTACAATAATTAGTAATGATAACTAATTATAGTACTATTAGTTATTAAGTACTTGTAAGCCTTTTATGGTCTCCGTCTCTCCGTATCTTAACTCAGAAACTCATAGTACTAGAAAACTGTGGCATGGATATACATACTTGACAAAATGTTAGGATAAAATCTCGATTTTTAATGTTGAAGTGGTGGAGATAATTATTTCTCAAAAATTTTTACAAATACCAAATACCTACTTATAAAAATATTAGAAGCTTCAGAAAACATATCATGAGTTTTAATCTAAGGACGTAATTAATAAAAGTGTGTTTATTTTAAGATAGCATTCTGTACTTCAATTGTTAGCGATGAAGAAAATGTTTCCGGTATATTATACTACTCTTTGAGAAAATGGTAGGTATATGTATAAGGAAAATCAGCAACGACGTATGTTGTAGATAAATCTTAATATTCAGTGGTGCTTTTCGGTAAGAACAAACTCACCGAAACAAATTCGTGGGTGTGATTTGAAATTTGAAATTCGTGTTCTAATTTTAAATCACACCGCGGATTCCGATGTGAAAAGTGAGTTGGTTCTTACAGAATAGCTCTGTTGATGTATAAATTACTGAGGGTAGCACACGGAGAAGTCCAAGATTTTTTACGTTTAAATAAATTTGCGATAGCCTATACCAACACAATCCTTGTCACAAAAAAATGTGTTGATTTATTGTTTACTTTATGGTTTAGTAAAGACTCAACTACTGAATTTTTTAGATAACTTATTAAACTCATAGATAATACAAAGATAAACTTATTAGGTAATGTGTGTGATAATATTATAAAAACACGTGTAATAAATAATATAAAAAGTTTTGAATTCAAGTTTAATAATTAAATAAATAAATAATAATTGGTTATTGTATTGGTTATCGTAGTACTTAAAAAATATACTTAAAATGAGTATTTGTATTCATATGAATAACTTAATATTGTGTAATACAAGTATTCCAGGTGGGAATGGGAGCGATGTAAAAAATGGACAACCTTTCTAGATTTACCAGTTTGTGGTTTTCACGCACACATGTTAATCATTTTTAAATGACACTGCAGAACCTGAACAAAAAAAAGCGAACATGCATGCATGCATGTAAAACTTGATTGAACGCGCTTTATACCTGTAAAGTTTTATTTATTACTAGCGGCCGCCCGCGACTTTGTACGCTTGGAGTTAGTTAGAAATAAAGGGATCACTGCTCGTTCCCCGTAGGTGATAACGTAATGTAGTCTGTATGTTGACCCGACTTCTTAATAATATTCGTGTCAAATTTTAAGTAAATCCATACAGTACTTTTTGAGTTTATCCCGGACATACATACAGATAAAGAGACAAAACTTCTAAAACTATATTTTTGGCTTCGGTATCGATTGATACCATATAGATCATACCTATAGATGTAAGGCCGGTTTAAAACCAATTAAACCAAACCGTTTAAAACGAAAAAAATCGTGTAAAACCGAAATAAACCATTTTTATCGATTTAAAACATTTGGTTTTGATGATGTCAACACCAAAAAAATATATAAAAAAAATGTTGGCAAATGTTAGCATTGTGTTAATGATGTCTTTTATTTTAATCTAGTGTGTGTTATATAATATATGTATATTAAATAAGTGCTTAAGTATGAAGGTACCTACATACCTACTTAAGTTTTCGTGGTACCTAGGTAATGTACGTAGGTACTTTCTATTGATTTTCGTTATACCTACTAAATAAAACGAAACATGTATGAAACATGGTTTAAAATGGCCACATTTTGTTTAAAACGTTTTAAATTGGTTGTTTTACATCTATAATCAAGTATTCTTTCAAAAAAATATTCAATGTACAGTTTTGACTTTCCTACCATTTTATTGTATAGATTGTTTAAATGAGAACGGGCAGAAATGTATTGGACATGTACACGCCAACCAATAACGATCAGCTGTATGTTGTTAGATAACACTTTTTGTGACTATCATTTGTTACAATGGGACACTCAATACACTGTGGGAAAAAGTTGTGCTTAGCCAAAAAAGAAGCAGTTCTTTTGTGGGTTACCTACAATGCGAAGAGATGGCGCTGTCTTGCAGCCTAAGAAATACTAGATAAAATTCGAACCGGCCATTAGGGCCGCGGTAGCATGATGGTCAGTGCATTCGCCCAGATAGCGAAGGCTGCGGGTTCGAGTTCCGCCTGCTGCCTGGTCCGCGTGGAATATTTTCTAGTAAAATTTTCTTTAATTTTTTTTACTAAGTAAAACTATTTTGCTACTGCGAATTGAGACTAGCTCTCATGGTAACAAATAATTTTCGTGAAAAACTTTTCGATGACATACTTGTTGTTGTTATTGGTCGGAGACTACATTTCGCCCGTCCTCCTTTCACCAGTGCTACAAATACCTGTAAGTCGTTTAGGTTTTCATCACTAAATCAATCGTATAGTCAATCACAAGGGTTTTAATTTAATAGCTATATTTTTGAAGTTATACCTCTTTAGACGCGTTATGAAAAAATGACGAGAGTGAAATTTTAAGATGCGCGCGCATCACTGCAACACAAAAGTAACACCATGAAGTTGACCGCGGGCGCGTTATGAAACAATGATGAGAGTGAAATTTTAAGATGCGCGCGCAGCACTGCAACACAAAAGTAACACCATGAAGTTGACCGCGGGCGCGTTATGAAACAATGATGAGAGTGAAATTTTAAGATGCGCGCGCAGCACTGTAACACAAAAGTAACATCATGAAGTTGGCCACTAAACTGCACATTAAGTTTCGAAAAAAAGCTACCAACAAACTTTTATTATTTTATTGAAATTAATTATTTGCATGCAATTAATAACTAATTTTTAATGATTCCAAAGAAGTATAACTTCTCACGCGCGTACATAAGTAGCGTGTACTTATGTACGCGCATTTTTTGTATTAAATATCCCATTGTTGCTTCCTAACATTTGCAGGGTTGCCCGCACACGCCACTGTGATAAGCAAGCTAGAGCCTGGTCTGCGTTACCAGTACGCGACGGATTCAGACGGTGAGAGTCATCTGGTGGACCTCTGGATGACACTGGACGACTGGCGGCAAGCTGCCAGGTTTAACCCCGTCGCTTCTAATGCTTATCATCTCTTTACAAGGTGATTGACTGTTTATATATTTATGTATTAACAATTAGAGAATTCCCCGGTTTAGCACAGGGGAACTTTATTTTAACGCAAAATATTACTCAGAATTAACGTAGCATTCTAATCTTCTAATGAAATAATGTTTCAAATCGGTCTAGTTATCTTTGAGTTTTATCTTTTCAAACAAACAAGTCTTTGCTCCCATGACATTAGCAAGGGCGTTGCTATCGCGAAAAATGGTGTAATGTACATAGAATGTAGCCAAATGCCATCGGCTAGCGACGCCCTTGGGCATTATAGATTTACACAAAACTTCCCTGTGTTTAATATCTATCTCTATAATATGTCTTCTGATGCCTGTCTAGGGAGGAAAGAATAGGCGATGGGCAGACAGTAGCAAATAATTTAAACTTTTTTAAGGGATTTTTATTTGTTGTTACGTACCCACCTAATACTATCAAACTATCAACAAAGATAGATTACAATATTACTGTATATATAGACAGTAGAATAAAATAAAAAGTCTTTTTATTATTATTCGAAACTGTTAGCGAGTAGGTACTAAAATATTTTTATTCAATTAAAAATAGTTCTTTTATTTTCTCGCACAAGATGAGTAATTATGTACGTATTTAAATCACAGGGCCAATCCAACTGTAAGCCAACCTTTGGTATTGAACAACGCAGCAAATCTTCAGCAAAGCAACTTTGATAGCACAAAGCGAACAGTATTTTTGGTACACGGGTGGAGAAATTCCGCATCATCTGAAGTAAATTCAGTTCTTGTACCGGGTATGTTTTTATATTACATAAAATTATATTTAATAATCAGCACTGACAACGAAAATAATAATCTCAAACTTGTAGAAAATATAAAACCTATTCGTTTGTTCATTTCCCAATAGCAGCACCTTTGGACGTTGCTATTTTATTCTTAAATTAATTTCTTATGTCAAATAACCCGCACTTAACGTTTGGTAAGAAATATTTTCTATGAATGTCAAGAAAGCAGGTGTGCAGAAATAATAATAATAATAAATTCATTTATTTGCATCACAAATTAATACAATTAATAATAAGCAGACATAAATGATTATAAGTTTAACAGTTCTTAAATAACTAGTATGAACTACAATCATTAGTGAGTGACAGTGATGCAAATAGGCAGAAGCTCAGCAGTGTTTTTGCCTTAATAGACAAAATGCTGATTTTCAGCAACTGCCCGTAGGAAGCGCGAGGATGTAGGTACGCTGCAAAGCTGGCATTGTAATTCCCTAGTCCCACACAAACACAACACACGAACATCGTTTACTCCATTATTAATTTACCTAGCAATATTTGTTAATAAAATTTTCTAAATAATAATAAATAAATGTATGTAATTAATCATTAGAAAACAAATTTGTGTAGACAATATTAAATAAAAATGTGTAAGTAATAATATAAAATATAAATTTTAATTTGAATGTCAAGAAGATTGAATGCTAACAGAAGAACCTCCACCAAAACGACAATTAGTGCGTATGCCTAAAGTTTGCAAATTCAGTAAGGTTAATTTAACTTGCTTTTTGAAAGTGTACCTTGATATTACGTGTCTTATAGGAGGAGGTAAATCATTCCAACATTTAGTCGCTTGGTGGCGGAAACTACCTGTAAATGCCTTATGTTTTTGAGTCGCCAATATCGGACGTATTGATCTGCAAACACCTGGTCCGTATCGAGAATGGAAGGTACGAAACTGTAACTTTTTGTAAAGGTATTCCGGGTTCTTAAATTTTAACAGATCAAACATAAATACTGCCAAATGCAGATGCCTGCGTGACTCCATATTCAATAATGAGGTATGAGCGAAATATTTACCTCAAAATGATTTGAGCCCATCACATAAATGGGCGTCACAAAGTACAGGGTGCATCCCTGTTATTCAAGATTTTAGAGCAGAAACCTAAATTGCCTGTACCAATCAGCCGTCTAAAATTTTCAATCTTGTTATTGCAGCACTCTTAGCAGCTGCAGATTTGAACGTGATCGTTGTCGACTGGAGTGCAGGCTCCAGTTCCATCAACTACCGGCTGGTGCTCCTCAATACTATTTCCTCAGGCAGGGCCGTGGCCCAGTTCATACAGTGGTTGAATCAAGTCAGTGGCAGCAGCACTTCACAGATACACCTGGTTGGTCACGGGTTTGGCGGTCACAAAGTCGGTATCATTGGCAGAAACTTGGGAGGCTCTGTTAATTATATTACTGGTAAGTTAAATTAATATTACTTGTCTAATTATAGTGTAATGACTTCGTCATAGATAGGATGATATAAACGATATTAAAATATAGAGTCTTGCATGAGTGGGACGGTAAAATTACAGACTGCTATTATATTACCTGCTATAAATTTGAGCACCTTATGTCTTATATCGAGATTCTTCGTGTTACATTAGAATACATAAACACATAATACATGGCAGCTTTTTCTATATAAACAATGATTCCATATAAAAATCATTGTACTCCTATATAAATGTTAAATGATGATGCCAAGTCATTTCCTATGGATGGAATAAGGAGAACAGTTCGGTAGTATTTAAACAACTTTGTACTTTAGTAATAAACCAATCGAGGAGCTCGTTGGCGCAGGTGGTTAGCGCGTTTGGTCTGCGATCGTGGAAGTTGAGTAACTTTCCCAATGCGTGGCAATTAGATTAGATGGGTGAACAAAACCTAATATATCGAGCTCCTCCGTGCTTCGGAAGGCACGTTAAGCCGTTGTCCCGGCTGAATCTGCAGTCGTTAGCATCTCGTGTGATGGATCATGGCTCAATCTCCCAATTTCTTTGATAGGGAAGGCCTGTGCCCCAGCAGTGGGGTCATTAAAAGGCTGATGATGATTATTTGCCAATAAAATAGGATAAGCTACATAACAGTATACCCAGTTTTTCAGTAGTTTGGAATTGAACCCGGTTGCATTTGCAGTTGTTAGTATAGATCAATCCAAATAAAAGTTATTTTCTTTGGGGCCTGTGCCGGAAACTTGGAGAGATGCTAAAGTGCAACCGGTGCCCAAAAAAGGGGATCGTTCAGACCCGGCAAACTACCGGCCAATAGCAGTCACCTCAGTTTTATGTAAAGTTCTAGAAAAGGTCCTTAATAACCATTTGACCCGCTACCTAGAGGATCACTCCCTGATTAATGATGTCAATATGGTTTTAGACCGAAACGATCGACGGGTGATCTTTTAGCGTACTTATCTCATATCTGTGGTGAGGCTATCGACAAGCGTGGCGAGTCGTTGGCTATCAGCCTTGACATTGCCAAGGCGTTCGACAGGGTCTGGCACTTCTCTCCAAGCTTCCGGCATACGGTCTGCCAGCCCAGATCTGTTCTTGGGTAGCTGACTTCCTGCATAAGCGTAGAATTCGTGTCCTTACGGATGGTAGCAGTTCGCGGTTCATGTCAGTGAATGCCGGCGTTCCCCAGGGCTCCGTCCTATCCCCCACTCTCTTTCAACAGAAATCTATGACTTGTGAATATTCATTGCTATGCAGACGATAGTACAGTGCATGCTGGGCAGGCGTTAACCAAGGAGAAGAGGGAGAATCTTGTCATTGAACTCAATCAGGCTTTGCGCCACATTTCCGAATGGGGTACCACTAACTTGGTTGAGTTCAATGCCAAGAAAACGCAGGCTTGCGCTTTCACGGTAAAAACATCGCCATTCCCTCTCTTCAGGGCACAGCACTGGCGCTACAGAGAAACATTACCATGCTCGGTATGGAATTTCGCTCAGACCTGAATCCAAAGGACTACATCGAAACCGTGATCAAAACAGCTTCACGCAAACTCGGAGTCCTGAACAAGGTGCGGCGTGTTTTCACGCCCGATCAACTGTGCTTGTTGTACAAAACTCAAGTGCGGTCCTGCGTGGAATATTGCTCGCACCTCTGGGATGGCTCCGCCAAGTACTTGCTCGATGCTTTGGATAGGTTACAGCGGCACGCAATCCGCATCATAGGTGATGAGGAGGTGACTAAACACCTTGAGCCTCTTCAATTAAGCCGTGACGTGGCGTCACTAAGCGCGTTCTATCGTCTGTACCACGGCGAGTGTTCTGAGGGGTTATTTTCTATTATCCCATCTTCCCCTTTCCTTCAGAGGACCACGCGCGCCGGCCTACGTTGTCACCGTCTGTGGCCACAATTCCAGCGCGTACAAAGAAATTTGGAGACTTATTTATTTGTCGCACTATCCGTAAATGGAATGCTCTGCCCACTCACGTGTTCCCTCCCTCTTACAACCTGGGATCCTTTAAAAGAGGCGTGAAGAAGGCCGGCAGGGTGTGGATGGCTGGTGTGGCAGGTAGAACTGTTATATACTGTATCAGCTTCTTCGCATCTGGACTTCACCTTCACTTAACATCAGGTGGGGAGGAGTCATTTGTCGGACCTATCTATAAAAAAAATATGAATAAAAATAGGCAATTCAATTTTTGTTTCAAGGTCTGAATCCCGCCCTCATTGGTTGGGTCACAAACATCTACCGGTTCCAGCCAAACGATGGAGTTTATACGGAGGTCATCCACTCTAACTACGGCGTGTATGGTTATATAGCCGAATTAGCTCACGTGGACTTTTATCCCAACGGGGGCATCTCCATGCCTGGCTGTGACTCCAACGAGTGTGATAATGCTAGGAGCTACTTCTATTTCGCTGAGTCTGTAATGTCTGGAGGATTTACTGGAAGGCAGTGCGTCAACTATGCAGCTGCGGTTATTGGCATGTGCGATGCTCTTCCGGGAAGACTACAGATGGGAGGTCTGGAACCAAAAACTGGCTAAGTTAATTTACTGGGTAGTGTATTGTACTTCACTTGTATTTCACCAAAATAGGAAACATTTTTTTTATTTTTATTACTTTCTTTGACTGTCTGAAAAACAAAGAATGCGTCGGTTGCTAAAACAAAGACAAGACAACTTCGAAAAGTGTTGCTTTCTGTCAATGGGCTAGAAGAAAACTGTCACTTTTGTATACCAATCACACGACAACTAGAACTAGGCAAATATTTACTTGATTTGTTTATATTTTAAATTATATAAGTTGAATTAGCTATTGTAATATAAGTATTCTGATTTATATGCTGTTTCTGCATGATTAATGGATTATTTCGTTTATTTCAGACGTACTGGCGTTTTTCTACTGGAGACTAATGCATCACCGCCATTTTCACAAGGATAAGTTTTACACAGAAAAATAAATGCAAAATCAAATCAATTGACTGATTTATTATTTTCAAGATAAAAAATCATTAACTAAGCGTCGTTTACATAACTTAAAGCAATAAATAGGATCGGCGCACACTTTCAACATTCTCGCATGCAGTGCTAATTTTCACTATAGCCTGAGTTTGTACTTGATTAATTTATATGTCCTTATTAATATCACAATTGGTTAGGATGTTTCAAGCTCTTTGGTCCTCTCGTTTGAGAGTTGTCTGCGCCTTCCTCTTGCGTTTTGACCGTGGTGGTTTCTGGAACAACTGGTTTGGTTCCGTTCAGTTTGTTCGGTAGATCTAATAAGCTCGATAGAAAGGCGACACCTTGCTCAGCTGTCTGGTATATTTCCATTAGGAAAGACTCCGCATTAAATGCTGGGGTCTCTTCTTCGGTGCTATCTTCGCCATCTTGGGTGGTACTGTAATAAAGTAATAAGTTATTAGATATGCATTTTCAAATACTCGAGATTATTAATATTTAAAGAAGAAAGAAAGAAAGAAAAATGTTTTTATTGCTGACAATACATAACATACACATAAAAATACATTTAACATAAAGTAAAACAAAACGTACAAGTAAAGTTAACAACAATAAAAAACAAACAAACAACAGATAGTAAATGTGTATTTTATGTGATGCCAACACTGGATATAGCTCAGCATACACAGCAGGTAAAATTCCTGCTGCACTGGTATTCTGCCATACCCAGAGCAGTGACATCACAGAAAACAAGAAAAACTGCAAACAATCACAAAGCAAAAACAATGGAGAAATCATGACCACGCCGTTTTGTCATTCAAATATTCTTAAATAGTCTGATATTCTTCCTTACGTAATCAGCTTTAAATACAGCTTTTCAATAGAAGTATCATCAACACATGATTCATAATATATATCATATAGAAATACCCGTTGGAATGGTTGGAACAGTTCAAACCCAAGCATTTTTGTCTGTTATATAATCAGACACTTTATAATAAGCATTCTTAATAAGAGTTTTTTTAATAGTCGATTTAAATTTAGTCAGGCTCAACTCTTGAATATTGCTTGGGACTTTATTGTAAAAGCGAACACAGAGGCCTCTAAACGAATTATTAATTTTGTGGAGCCTAGTAGCAGGTAAAGTTAACTTATTTTTACTTCTAGTATTAAGTGTATGTATTTCACTATTTTTAGTAAATAAACTAATATTTTTTTTGACATATACTAAGTTTTCATATATGTATTGTGATGCAACCGTCATTATGCCTATTTCTTTAAACTTATTTCTTAAGGAGTCCTTAACTTTAAGATTTTAAATTGATTGAATAGCCCGCTTCTGCAACACAAATATTGTTTGAATGTCGGCGGCATTTCCCCACAGTAAAATACCGTAGGACATTACACTATGAAAATAACTAAAATAGACTAATTTGGCAGTTTCTATATCCGTTAACTGACGTATTTTCATTACAGCGTATGCTGCATAAAAACTCTGATTCGTTTAGTAGTTCGAAATTTTATAACTACGAGAAAAATTGAGCGTTGTTAGGCAGAAAGCGACCAGCGGGTATTTTTGAAGCGAAAGTTTAGTCTATGAACCCATGTTAAAGTTTAATTTTGTTTGAATCCAATAATGATCAATGGTCGCTTTCTGCTTTCACAATTTTATTATATTTTAACATTGGTCCACAGAGCTCTTTTTTAGTAGCTTCAAAAATGCCTGATGGTCTCTTCCTACTTAACACCGCTCAATTATAATTAGGTAGTTACTTAGGATTCAGTGTCTTCAGGTGGGTTATCCATCTCCATTGCTCCGGATTTGGCCTTTAAGTAACCGATGGGGAACTTCAGCTACTTGGGGCTGTAGCTGTTTGTCCCCGAAGATTCTGAGCTTCAGCTCCCGACGAACTTAGAGTCCATCAGCAGTCGGCAACATATCGCTGAATTTGGCACATGCCTGTTATTATTTTATTATTTACTCACGATTCAGTCTCTTCTGGTGGGTCTTCCATCTCCATTCCCCCGGATTTGGACCTGAAGCAGCCGATCGGGAATTCCAGCTGCTTGTCCCCGAAGATCCTCGGCTCCAGCTCCAGACAACCTCTCAGTCCATCGGCAGTCGGCGCCATGTCGCTAAACTTGGCGCACACTTGGGCGAACTTGCCTATCACTTCGAGGCATATTGGTGCAGGGTTCGTGCCTAGAAGAATTTAGGTATAAATAAACCTTAGGGCCACTTGCATTAATAGTCTTAATTAAAATAAGGGTTTCTAAAAAGCTTTACGCCACCAGTTGGCTGTGGAATGAGGTTTTTGTATGAAGTTTGTGGCGCGATTTAATCGAGCAAGCATTCAAATTGCAATGGCTTGGCCGTTAAGTTATTATAGAAACTATTGTATAAAAGAAAAGTAATAAATAGTGGATAAATTTTTCACCTTACGCCCATGTGAATGTTGTTGGATGTTGGACTGTCGTGAAACAAATAGCTCGCTTTGAAAATATTATATGTGTATGAATGAAACTGAAAAATTAACTAAGTACTTAGATATTATTGAAATTTACTAAATCCAAACTGATATTATAAATGCTCTCGAGGAGCTCGATGGCACAAGTGGTTAGCGCGTTAGGCTGCGATCGTTGAAGCTAAACAACTTTCACAGTGGTCAGTCATTGGATGGGTGACCAAAAATGACTATCTCGAGCTCCTCCGTGCTTCGGAAGGTATGTTAAGTTGGTCTCGGCTGCATCTGCTGTCGTTAGCACTCCGCATTGGACTCGCGTGGTGGGTCATGGGCCAATCTCCCTATTCGATCCATAGGGAAGGCCTGTGCCCCAGCACTGGGAACATTAATGGGCTGAAGATGAAGATTATAAATATGAAAGTGAGTTTGTTTGCTACTTAATCACGCAAAAACTACTGAATTTGGTTGACATTTTTTACACTTTTAGTTTATGACCTGGATCGAGACAAAGGATACATTTTATTAAAAAAATGTATGCGGGATTCTCAAAAAAGTGAAGTTAAAGCGAACGAAATCGCGGGCGGGCGCTAGTTGGTTTAATAAATAAGAGCTGGCTGCCGAATAAAACAAATTTGCTCTAAAAGCAATCAGTTTTATGATCTTAAACGTAAAGCAAAAGCTGAATTGCAATTTCTAATAAGATATTATGTGTCCGTTTCACTACTGGAACAACTTTCTATAGAAAGCCTTTAGTGCATTTCTTTGCAGACGAAGTCATGAAGGCCAAACTTACCTACATTGGGCTATTGAAATATATACTTAAATGACAATGTGGTTCGAATATTAAGCTGTTATTATTCGCCATTGAAACACCACTATTTTACTGCAAAAAATAACATCGTAAAACTTGTGCCGTCATGATTAAATAGTATAACTATTTAATCATGACGGCACAAGTTTAATGATATTGTTTTGTACATTATTTCTTAAATATTGTTTTTAAAAGCAGAAGGCTAGACTTAGAAACCTCGTGCATCTAAAATAAGAACCCCTTAAATATAGGTTTTCATTAGGATATTTTTGACAGGTAACCTAAAAAAGCATCATGTAGATTCTCTAACTAAAAGACGTTTCCACTTAAATAGATAACTATATACTTACCTGTAGTATATATGTATGTGACTCATTTACTCATTAAAGATTAGGGCAACCGCACACCTGCCACCGACCGCAGCCACTAGTGGCTTAATGGTGGGCACCAGTTGCCGCCACTTTTGCCTGAATTCCATTAATTTCCGTTGAGAGCTTGCAGGGGTTGATCGAACTCTTTGTGAAATGAGAACACTTTTGATTTCGTTGTTGTTGATTATTATACTAAAAAATAATTATGCGTATTACACTGGGATGTGCTTAGTTTTAACAGTACTGTGGTCGAGTACGCATGCGATACTAGCGATAAAACGTGACCAAAAAGTAGCGAGCTCGGCCGACTCCTACAGCTTGTGGCTCCAACGCGGCCACTCGACCGCTCAGTTTGCGCCTATATGATACAAAATGTATGAAAAAGCTCGACCGCAGCTTGTAGTCGCGTTTAGTGGCTCAATGTGCGGTTGCGCTTAGGAATTCTATGTATTCTACAGTATTATGTAAGGTTTAAAAGCAACGTCAATAGTTGGCATTGCTCATATCCCAGGTTTAATTAATTCACTAGGTTTTGGAGGTTTGATATATGTGTAAATATAACACAAATAATGATGTTTAATGTTAGCAGTACAGCTCTACTTAGGCCAGGCTGATTAAGTACCAGCCGATTACCTAGGCCGAGTTGATTTTTTTGTAGTAAAATTATATTTATCACGTAATTAGATTACCTTGTATTTTAGCGCTGTGGATGAGGTTCTTGCCGTAAGAAACGTTCACAGAAAAGCCATCCTCAGGAGACAGATATTTCATGTGAACACAACCTGAAACACAACAGAAAAAAGAATGACCAACGAAGTTAAATCATGTATTTGAAAAAAAATGTAACGCAAGGATTTTCTTTTCAGTAAATTGTAATGTAATACATCTTTGAGGGAGAGTCGACTTTTTTGCATTTAGGTATATACATATTATAAAAATAATAAAAACTAAACTAAAAATAACCTTCAAGAAAAAATTTACTGAAATAAAAACTTTATATTTATAAATCAAGGTAAGTACGTATCTTATATTAAAAAAAATGACTTCTGATATAATGGTTAGAAATAAAATATAATAAACAGCAAAATAACTGTTTAAAAATCATATTTTACTCCATTTGCGAATCAGAAATAGTACCGACCATTTCAAATATTTTTTGTCATAGTATCAAGTAAATTTATTTAATTTAATTGCCAGTTCGTATGAATGGAATGTAAAATTAAAATTCAAGTAGGTTTTATAATACGAAATTCCAACCTGGACCACCGAGGTCAATAAAGGTAATGTTAAAGTTGACACAGCAAACACAGGCCGGCCCCTTGCATGCGCAACTCCTGTCATTCTGGTCTTCGCGCTTCTCCGCTACCTCTATCAGCTTCTTCCCGTCTTCAAAGTCAAAGTAATCTGTGAAATAAATATTCTATGAATCGAAAACAGGAGAAATAGAGCACACCTGGCGAAGCAACCTCCATCTTACAGAAGACAGTAAAATAACACTACTTTTTGGTTGTGTAGTAATTTTTTCTTTTTTTTATGTTAAAAAGGTGGCAAACAAGCGTATGACCCGCCTAATAGACGCTTGCGATATCAAAAATGTCACAAGCGCCGTTGCCTACCCTGACCCAATCCCCTACCCCGTGGAGCCCTGGAACCTTACTCACCTACAGAAACAACACCACCAAAAGATAGTATTGTTTTACTGTGATCTTCGCAAAGTGGATGTTACTTCCCCAGACGGGCGCTCCAATTCCTGCGGAAATTCTCTCTTAATCAAGAAAACTAAATACCTATTGAATAAAAAGTAAAATACCTTTGATGAATAAAATAATCAAATACTATTATTAATTTTATTTACGACCACCGTGGAAGAGTGGTATGTATGGACGTTCAGTACACTGGTTTTCATGGTGTCGCCCACTCCGAGGATAGATACACTAGTATACTAGTTGCGAGCCCATCACCTATTAGAACTATTATTCCTAAACTGAATTTTCACTTAATAAGTTTTTACAAGGAGCTCTATGGCGCCAGTGGTTAGCGCGTTCGGCTGCGGTCGTTGAAGTTGAGCAACTTTCGCAGTGATCGGTCATTGGATGGGTGACCAAAATTTTACTATCTCGAGCTCCTCCGTGCTTCGGAAGGCACGTTAAGCCATTAGTCCCGGCTGCATCTGCAGTCGTTAGCACCCACCAACCCGCAATGGGTCCGAGTCATGGCCCAATCTTCCTAACCCATCCATAAGGAAGGCCTGTGCCCCAGCAGTGGGGATATTAATAGGCTGATGATGATGATGAAGTTTTTACAAGTTCCATGTTTTCGTACAATCCCAGTTCATCATGGTGTACATTTTACAACAGGCATTTTGTGCAGTAGTTTTATTTTGTATCGCTATCATAAAAACTGCGCTTTGCGTCGATAATTTCTGTGTGAATTGTACTTTGCAACACATTTATTGGATTAGGTATTATGTTAACATTATTAGCAAAATAGAGAACCAGGAAACTACAAAAAGTATGAGCCTAGCGTCAGTTTGTCTGTAACATTGTTTTAATTCTTACACGTCGAAAGAATTTTGGCTTCATCAGTCACGCGATAAATCGGTAACGGATCGTTTATTCTGTATTATGGCATTTTAATTTCCTATTTTCTATGCATTGCTTTATTAGTAATTTAGCGCGAAAATGTGTACGAATTTATGATGTGTACCTATGTACGTTAAATGTTATTATCTATTTATTATACATAATGCACTTGTGCAGACACCTTAATAGTAATTAAAACAAAAAATATACTATAACAATGAACCTAAAACTAAAAAACCTTAATAAATAAAATATAATAACTAAAATACATTATTAAAAGGAGTCCCTTTAGGCAAGGTTCCGAAGATACTGGCAGCGTTCCCCCTTTGGATAGCTAGACTAATTCTTTGTCCGAGGTAGCTGCCAGCTCTTCGGTCTCCTGTGATGTCGACTAATCTTTTCGCTATTTCTTTAAAAAGCCTTATAGCGCTAGGACCCCACGGACCAAGGGTCTCGACACCGAATGGGACAAAATCATATTCGGAGCCTAGACCCCTGTATTTGCCTGCCTTAGCTTTTTCAGCCGCTTCACAAGCCGCACCAGCTCTGTTGTTGGTTCCATGTAGATGGGAAGGGGCCAGCGTGTCTGAACAGGTTGCATCCCATACTAGCACCCGACCCATCTTCCATGGAATCAAACTCATACCGTCCGGTCTCTTGCCATCGTCTCTTGCAATACCAGTTGGCTCAAGTAGACTTGGCACGTTGACGGTGGCAAGGGACCGGCGTATGATATCGTATTATATATATATATTCGTACATATACGTATATGTACGAATTATGACTTTTATTTCTCGTTGGTTTGCAAAACCAAAAACTCTATACATTTCCCACCTCAGCTTTAGTTTAGTATGTAGTCTTTTTTATTTTTAAGATTCATGATTCCTATCTATAAAGCTTTATTTTATAAACTAGCTAAAACTAAAACTAATATAACTGAAGAACTAGCTTTATGCCTTTGTGTGAAATAATTTTGTAGTTGTTTTTATTTCACTATTATGTCTGCATAGCATGCAGTGTACTAATATTATTGGATTGTCCTCTAGACGAAACTTCGTTTTTTTTACCATAATACCATGTAACCATAATACTGTCAAAAATTAATAAATAAACCATAATTGATAAGTTTACAAGGAAACATTTCTTAATCTTAAGACATTTAACTAATAACTGTTGTTCAAAATATTTTATTTTAAAACTGTGACAAACAAGCACATTCAGAGCAAATCCCATCATATAGGCATTCGCGTTACCAAAATATTACTAGTCCGTTACGTAACCCTATATATATAATTATGTCTCCTTTGGAACCTAATTCATTGCCATAAACACAACATCTCCAACACTTTCTAGTATTATAATTTTTAGGATGAAAAGCTTATTAGTCGAGTGGCTGTCCCAATTTGAACAGAAATTTGCTACGCTCTACCTTTCTTTAAAATGAGTCTCATCTCTTTGTGCTCAATCAGATATATGGGCTTATAAATCGCGTTAAGCACATACTTCTTAAGAATTCCCTCCAGATTTCTTAAGAAGTTTTTGCCACAGCCACATATTCTGACTACGGTGTAGAGATTGTGAAGTATGGCCTTGTAGAGTGAAGGCATGTAGAGTTAGAAGCTTGGCTCTACATGAGATCTGATAACTCTTTGACCGTGCGAGCCATATGGTCTCGTTTTGTCAACATTTTACTTGAAAATATTTTTGATATGATTAATATTTTTCCGATAATAATAATAATGTCGCGGGTCGTTACGTTCCCTAAAATATAGTTGAGCGAAGCGATGGCTGATTCATGCATCATGCTCGTAAACGGGTGCTGCCGGCGGAGATAAGTCTGCCCTCACTACTTTGATATTTAAGATGTAAATGTCTAATTACACCTAATATAATTATATAATTATTTGTATTTTTACTGTTGTATTCTTAACAATGAATGTATAATTTCACATTATGTAATGAAAGGTGACTTCATGGATCATCTCTGAAGTAATTATTAAACCTTGACGACTCTGTAAATATATATAACAGGGAGAAAAATACAGCCCCTGCTGAGTTTCTTGCCGGTTCTTCTCAGTACAAGGTCTCCCGCCGTCGATTTACGAACCGATGGCGTAATTTCTAGACATTCATTATGCTTGTAACAACCTAAACTGAATAAATGATTTTGATGATTATTATAATTATGATAAATGGAAAATACCGAATAATATACTTATTATTAAAATAATATTTTTCCTAATTCCAATGCTACTCCCATCTATGCATCAGTAGTCACAATATTATTACGTATATGTCAAATTGTCAGTCACTCAAAAGCTTGACAATGCAGTTAGGCTTTTATTCATCTGGTCACGCAACAGCCGTAACCGAGGTACAATGGCTTACATAACAGCCATGGTCTCTCTCGTGTTTATTATAACATAGCCAAATGTCCCGCTACTTTCGAGTTTCTACTTTCACTGTCGTTATGCATGTCATATAGCTATATGGAAACCGTAAAATTAGGTATGACCAGCTGTTATGACTGTTGGGTCATTACTTAATCTATACGCCATGCCAACATTGCCAACTTTGAGAAAAGGGGTAAATTCGCTAGCGAACATCAAAAGTGCATTGTGCAAAAAAATACTTGTAAAAAGTGCGTAGTCACAAAACACCTCCAAAATATTATGAGCTCGAAGAGACAATGGTAAGCGCGTTTGATTTTTTCAATGTTAAAAGCATAACCTTTAGACTCTTGCGATACCAAAACATAACTCGCATCGTTGCCTACCCTGACTCAATCCCCTAACACGGGGAGTCCTTTTTTTTGTAAAGCTAGCAAAAAATACTGTTTACAGACGACGGCGCCTTTAAGAGGCACACCACCGAGCGGAACTCACACCTGGCTCTCGCAAGTCTTACGAACCCCCCAGTGGCTACCCACCGAGGACCCCGTAACTCTTACAGGCGCTTTTCGGTATAATATCCGCTAAAAACCCTGCGAATACCATCTACGCTGCTTAATGCGAAGCCGCGGGCGCATTTGTTTCTTACTAAAGGCATTACCTCAACGTTTTTCGCATACAGATAAGAAGTTTACCGACGAAAATAGTAATTTTTATACCCGATCAATACCAAAACGATACCAATGACCGCGAAATGCTTGGTAGTGACGACTGAACATAACATAAAAAAGTTAAAGATCTATGTATGACGGTGGCAATGGCATTTTATTCTTGACGCTGTACCAAACCCTATGATTTCCTTTCCTATGAATAAGTTATATATTATATACCCCCAAATAAACTTTACCCGAAAGTTTAAATTTCTAATATCCAATAGGTAGGTAATAACCGTCGAACAGCATGCTGATCCAGTTTAGTTTTGTTCTACATTTACTGTGAAATTTTATGGATGACTTTGACAATTATTGACTAAATTTGCTTAAAAAACATTGATGTTAATTATTAATCATATTCTTATGATAAACAATAGACTTAACACGTTAGAGTTTTAAACGGTTCCATTAATATTTTATCTTACATAGGTATTAACCGTGCATTAATCGTCATCTTTTTAATAGGCACAGAAAGCTACGTAATTTACTAAAGAGGTATATTACATAACTTATAAAACAAAAAACGCAAATTTTTTAAATATTTATAAGGTTGTTATCATAACAAAAAAGCACGGAGTATTTAAACTAAGAAAAGACATAAACGCGTTACATATTTTAAGATTAGCTAGTACAAACGGAAATGTAATATAATTAGTAATTATATTATCCTTTGTTCATTTAATAAAATATTTCTGAACGAGTAACAACAAGACGGCGTAATATAACTTCCAAGTTAAACCAAAAATAGACACAGTAAGCTTAATCCATAAATCAACCCGCTATCTAAACACAATTGAAGTATTTATAATAGTCTATAATTACAAACTAAAAAAATAATCACGTGAAAATTAATTTCAACTGTCATCGTTAACCAAATACTTATGTGCTGTTTAAACTTTACAAACACTTTTGTAATGAGCCAATATCGATGCATAATTCATATCAACTGACAACAACACAGCTCGCGTCCATTTATAATTTAGTGCACAATATTTAATTAACTTTCTAATCATTGACATCGTCGAGTTGGTACTTACCTAAAATGTTTGCACAGTGTGCGACAGTTGTCACGGCGAAAAACAACGCAACTGCCAACTTGAGTGACATCGTGCCAGAGACGAGTATGTGTTCGAAACAAAAAACGATTGTTGCGTTCGAAATATGATAATGATATTAATATTATGATATTTAGTTGGAATAATTTCTGATATCCGCGCGTAAGGACAAGCCCGGTATCTCAGGTTCGTGCGTCGTCGCCGCCGAGCCAACACTGCTCCTTTCCAGCAATCTCACTCGACTCGTTTCACTTTACTCACAATAGAAGGTGAAATTTAAATAAAGCATAACGCAGCATAATGAAATGCATCAGTGAGATGCATCGAGAAAGCAACTTATGAAGAGCTGGTTTAACTCTCTCAAATATTTTTTTTTGGTATGAAATGGAAACAAAAACAATTTCACATTATCTATAAAACGACGAGCTCAATATCTTGCCACAAAAAAGGAGCAATACCTATCTGAAATTGCTTTAAAGTTATCTTTACAAATATCTGTAAAACATATTAAAAACTTTTTTTGCATTTTTATAAATAAAAAAACTGAAACTCCGTTCATTTACAAAATAAAATACTTACTTTTTTTTGTAGTCAATAAAAACAGTCTTAATTGAACTCCTTGAAACCAGTTAAAGAGTTCATACTGTTAATTATTATTTTTCATCCCGAGGTTAAAGAAACTATCTAGTGGGCTAAATTAGTTTCTGTTTGCGATAATTAGTATTATTATCATTGAAGTGTTAACAAGAGCATTTAAAATTAAATACACCATCTTTTGTTTCCTTCAGAAAATACTGATGTTAATGGTCAAATCCTGTTATAAGGAAAACAATTTTTATTTCACAAGACGTAATTCACTGCATTTTTTAACAATTTATCGATACGTGTTGATCTTGATTATTCATCAAGTATTAAAACGCGATGAATGAATGAATTCATAGATCCCTTAACTCAATTCTATAAGTTAATTACCTAAGAAAATTAACAAAAGCAAAAAATAGGTTACTTTAAATAAGTGGCTGGGTCATGTTGGTTAAATTCGATTCATTCTAAAGTGATTCAGTTATATTGTTCAGCGAGATAAGCTAATTAGGCAGCTCAGCTTATAATATGTAGTCAAATAATTAAATTAAGGTCAATGATCTTAACGGATACTTTTATTTTTAAACAATCCAAATTCTAAAAGTCCGAGCTTTGAAACATTATAATTCACTGAAAACCGAAAAAATAACTATATACATATTATTATTAGCACAGTACTTAAATCGTCAAGATTCTTGAATATATCAAATTCATGATACATGTTTTCATTCAGAGCCTTCAACGTATGAGTCGGCAACCTTTGGTTCTGCAAGTCTCCATGGGTGGCAGTGACCACTTACCATCAGGTGGATTGCCAGCTCATTTGCCTAATCATCATCATCAGCCTATTAATGTCCTCACTGCTGAGGCACAGGTCGTCCCTATGGATGGAATTGGGAAATGCCTCGTTTGCTTGCATAATCATAAAAAAGGTATTCGGTTATTATCAACACCAGTTTCAATACTTATTTGAATTGCTTTATACTTATAAAGTTAATTAGCGAGTTTTTTTAATCTAAAACCTACTGAACTATTAAAGCGCAGGTGCAGCAAACACACCTTTAGAGAAAGCTGAACAGTCTACTATGTTCTCTCTGCAATTCTAGTTTTAGGGATGGGAAAGATAGGGGATTATTTATAAATAATAAATTTATCAGTGTTATTTTTCTTCTTCTTAATATTCTTGTAAGGGACCAAAAATAATACTCGCTTTCTGGTCAACGTTTTATCTGAAACTGTCATTATATTTTTACAAAAGGATAACGTTGAAGGTTATTCTAACTTAGAATTAGAATATAATATTGGCCGAAAGAGGATGATAGCGGTGTTGATTGGCAACAATTGTTATACAATACAAAATCAGATATATATATATATATAGTTATTCTACTTGTGAACGCTCGCTTCCCTTTGGTAACGAAATTTTATAACGTTAAATTTGTATGGAGAACAGATCATAGGCTTATTATCTGAAAATTAATTAATCTAATAAAGATATATTTGCACTTTTAAGTCTAGTCAGATATAGTTGATGGAAGAGAATAACATTATAGCATATACAAGTTCTGTTGCGTGTGTTCAAATGGAGCTTTTTGAAGTTATACTTCTTTAGGCGCGTTATGAAAAAATGATGAGAGTGAAATTTTAAGATGCGCGCGCATCACTGTAACACAAAAAATTAACAGCATGAAGTTGGTCGCTTTAGCAACCAACTTCATGCTGTTACTTTTGTGTTTACCGCACATTAAGAAAATCTACTAACAAAATAGAAATAGAATCTCTATTTTGTGGGTGCTAAAGACTGCATTGTGAAGGCCTATCAAAAGTATTTATTAATCTGAAACAACGGAACCAAAGCGCGATTCAGGAGACTACAGCGCCATCTCTTGACCATTGGTGTAGTAGAACCAAAAACCACACCTTTATTTTTTGTAATAAAGTAACAGTTATAGGTATTCATATTTATAATATTTATCCACATGTTTCTAGTTTGTATATTCGGAATACGTGTTTGAGTTTCATACAAGTGCAAATCACATATGTTCTAATAAATTATATTCAGTAGCGATTTTAATTGAATATTTTGATTATTTATTTATTTTTTCAAATTAAAACTGAACTTTATTGACTGTGTCCTTTTCCAGACTTTTTATTAATTTATTGTAATTAATTATTTGCATGCAATTAAAAACTAATTTTAAACGATGCCAAAGAAGGATAACTTCTCACTCGCCTACATCAGTACACGCACCCATTTTTTTTTATTATACAATAAGGTACAGGGCACCAATGAAGGCCCACTTAATTTCAAAACCTCGTTAAATCTTGCAAATAAGCAAAGAAACAACATAATGGATGTTATAATATATTTATTTGAGAAACAAGATATCTTAAAGAGTAGGACAGCTTTTGCACATTGTAACGCAAATGTAAACACTTTTTAAAAACTTGGTATTGGGTTATCTTGGGAAATTGGTGCCTGAAGAGGGTCCAAAAAATATTAATGTAAATATATGCATTATAAAAACTTAAACACTTTTAACATTATATATCAAAATAAGAACACATCCTTCTCGTAACATTATTCGTAAAGGCCAAATTTCAAAAAATATTTTAATGTGGGCTATCTTAAATCTAACCAAATAAAAATCAACTAAACAATAAAAAACAACTACCGAATAATATTAAATTAACTTTGAGATCAACTTTGAAAATAACTTATCAAAATATAAAAAAATAGTTATTTTTTCTAAATATTTTTTTAATGTCATTCATAGGCTATCTAAGGAATACTGAAAATAAACTTTCAGATCAATCAAAATATAATAAATTAGTTTCACTAAATTAGATGCTACTGTCTTTAATTGTGTGTGTCCACTCCTAACAAAAAAATGTTTTGAAAATAATCTCGTAAAAATACAAAAAAGGAAAGAAAATAATAACACTCACTTGTAATCTTATAATAGATTAAATATGAAATTTTCAGTTTAGAGCAAAGAGATTTGCTATAAATTTACTAATTTTCAAAAGAATTAAGATAATGGTGGTTGTAAAACGCGTATCGTCTTGACATGAGCAAATGCAAACTGTCATGTGTCTTTAAAATGCCGACGCGCCGGTGAGACACAGTTGCACAATTTTCTATGGTACTAGTAGTATATACCCGAGAAATTTTAAATGTTTCGAATAATATATAAAATAACTGTATTTTTTTTAAGTGGACTATCCTAGGAGCCGGGCATTTTTCGGCGACACCACCTTATAAGTTATATAACGGATGCTCTATTTAATATTATGACGTACATACTCTCTATCTCTCAATTCTCTTTGACTATGACTGATCTGTTGCCAAGGCAACGTGCATACATTCCGGGAATTCCTTATTAATAATATAGGTAAACTTTAAATAAAAACCGATTTTTTAAAATAAGCTAACTTATAAAGAATACCTATATAAAAAGATAGAAATAAAGAATACCTATACAGAAAGAAGAGAGATTAATACTTAAAAAATATAATTAAGCCTTGTCTAAAGAAGTTAAATCATACCAAGTATAGAAAAATATCACCTAGTATTAACTAAGTGCCAAATGGAACATCACTAGTAAATGCATCGTGCATCCGTACGTATGTGATGCGCCTATGTACCGTGTGCACCAGTGCCCTACATGAAGGTCAATACCCTCGCGCGGTTCAGTCTATCAGAACTTTATATTTTTTTTTCAAACTTGTACAACTTTACCGACTGCTACGAAAAAATATAATTCTAATTTAAACTACATAGCTGTCGTTAAAATAGCATTATTTGTTTATAGTACCTACATGATGTGAAACGTTGTATCATTATTTTTTCTCTTTATAATCTTATTAATTATTTATTAGAAGCATTAAACGGCTTTAGATATAATTTTACCACATATTCCAAATTTTTAAATAAATACTAACTGAGCCAACAAAGCTCGAACGGCCATAAAATGATATGATGGTGTGGTGGTGGTAAAAGGGTGAACATTTTGGGTTGTATGTATTTTTAAATGCCGTATTATAAAAAAATAAAATAAAAAAAAAATACCAAAAACGAAAGAAGAAAATTGGGGTGGTCGCCCTTATCACTTAAGGATATGAAAAAGAGTGTACGTTCTATTCTCAGACCTGCTGAATATACACAAAAAAATATATTAGAATCAGTCAAGTCGTTACGGAGCAGTTTTGTTACAAACACTGTGACACGAGAAATTTATATATTAGAGATAGATTTCGTTTTGTACAAAAAAGTAATATATACTCGTATGTCAAGATTACAGCTGGGAAATTATTTTCTCTTTTTTTATTACTTTAAAGTGCAATTAAAATGTTTTATTTAACTAAGTAATTTCACCACGTGAGACCTTAACTGCTTTCTTAGAAGGAATCTTGATTAGTGAGAGTTCTTAAGGTAACATTTATATATCTAATTTATATAGCTACATACATTTGATTTATAAGAAAATTTATATTATTTCACGTTTTACAAGTCTGACAGAAAACTCTAATTTAGAATTACGACCGCACTTAAATATTTCAATTAAATGTAATGACGTGTTGTCTAATGCTGT